TAAAATCATTTATTTATTAGCTTTGTTCACAATGTTATTAATGTTATTGAAATTAGTGAAATCAAAGGATGACTTTGTTTGTCACGAAATTTGTAATCTTAAATTTAAATATAAACTTCTTTAATCAAAAACCGTCAAAAACAAAATCAATAGCGTGTCTAAAGTTGAAGCTGGTAGTAATTTTTAAATTATCAATGTGTGCGTAGATAGGTCTATGATTGTATGCGATCGAATTTCTACTTTAGCCATCCTCGTGTATGAACTCTGGTTTAATTTAATTTAGTTGTTGGACATTTAAAATCATCATTGCATTTAAAAAGTTTCATCATTAGGTCTGTATAGAATTGGGAACTTTTGAACTGCCATGAACATTTCACACTATTGATGCAAGTTAGAATTGTTTGCCTCCGAAGGATACTTCGTTCTTAATTTTCAATCCTATAAGTTTATTTAGCTTTACTTTTTGCTTATACATTTTTTGAACCATTTGGCTACCATCTTTCCTGTGCTAGACATTTTATTTCCACGGAGATTTTCTCCTTTATTACGTTATATTTCTTGTCAAACATCCATTCCATTGTTCTATTTCTCCACGACGAACTTGTTATCAGTCACCGTCTAATTCGAACCGTCGACTGTTCAATAAGTAGCCTGCTTATCAACAGGGAAATTTAAAATCGCAAATCGTCAAATTTTGTTTTGGAGTCTAAGGGACAGGAAACGATTTTCAAATGAAGCGCATTTAGTACTATGTGAACTGTACATGTTCGACTGAACGAGCTTTTTAAATTTCAATGAAATACATTTCTTTTAACTTATTGTGACGTCGTCACGACATAGATTTATGGAGATGGAGGCACGTTTTGATATCTCAGATCATTTAGATTGATTTCCAGTCCCTCTATCATTTAAAACAGTTTCTGATAAATTGTTTGTCGCGATTTCCGCCACATGAATGGTATTGCCCATTTGAATGCTTGCTTTGTTAAAAGCCAGAAATAACGATGACCAGATATAACAAGTAGGTCGCATTTTCGGCAAGAAAAGTCACAGGTTCACGTGCAAAACTTTTTGATCCACCCCAGCAATATCGCACAAGTGATCGAGGCTGGGTAACTCATTAAGATTAAGTGAAGTACGTCCAAATAAATACAAAATTCAAAAATAAGCTGAACTCCAAATCCCTCCATTTATTTCTAACGTTTCTGGTTCCGAACTCAATCAAAAGCTTTAACATTGATGGTCAAAATGTTTATGAAAATTTTAATAAGTGACCCATGCCCCATCGGTTTAATTTGACTCAGTTTGTTGGTGATATGAGGAAACTGATTCCTGCGACAAGTTTGTACAAAATGAATAAATAAATATGAGGTTGCATTTTAGGTAAACGCTTTGTTAATTTAATCTTTTATTAAAGAAATTTAACATGAAAAGAAAGACAAATTGATAAACAAACATTCATGAGGTGAACGAATATAAAGACCATTATGAAAGATTAATTCAATAATTTGGATAATGCAAATCTATTCAGAATCAAATAAATTACAGGAGTTAGTGATTGAACAAATGAACATCCATTTTCGTTATTTCTAGTAACAATAAATAAAATACAGAAAATTTATAAATTGAAAAATAATTTTATACAACTTATGAAAAATTACAATATCAAGTATTTATAAAAAACAACAACATTCAATTGCGAAAGCCATAACGTGAAGACTGCAAGCTAGTTCTGTTTAGGCACTTGGAAAATAATTGGAACTACTTTGCACTAAACATAAATTTGGATCAACAATTTGAGTTTAAGAAATAAACATCACAGATATTATCATAATAATAAAAGAATAATAAAATAGAAACAACAACACTTTTAACTGTAATAACGTTTTAAAACGAGTATTCGTAAGTTACCAGAAAGGGAATCATAAAATAACAATAACTCCATGAATAACTAACAATCCAACTTAGTATTTTAAGAGTGTTCATAATTTTAAAAAGTGTCAAGTATAAAAATAACATCATCTTTATAAGAAATAAGTGTGATGAATTTGTGAATATTAGTGAAACATGTGAAAACAAACGAAATTAAAACTGAGAATAATATGGTTCAATTTAAAAATTAACAAAATGGTTCGATGGAAGTTATTAGAACATTCAAAAAAGTCAAATGTTGCTCAGTGGGATGGACATGCCAAACCCAACATTTGTTGCATTAATAGCGACATTTGATTATGTGTACAACTGTACATGTACACTCTTCATCATACGGTGATCATTCAGCGAAACATTCTCGTCTCATGAAATGGAAGTTTATAAATATGCTCAATTTATTAACTATTAGCAAGAAACATGATAAAACAAATACAAAAAAAGTTTAAAAGTTGTTGAAACAAGTGAAGCAATAAAAGTCCATCACTCCTTTTCCCCTATTGGCCCATTATATTTCAGTAAGCCTGCTAAATGATGCTTAATAATCATCTTTCAAAAAATATTCACCTTGTACAAACAGTCTTCCTGCTAGTTAACCAAACGTGGAACCACCACTGTGCAGAGTGATCCATTATGAACACAATTGGTAATTTATTGATAGATTAGTGGAAAACATGTAACAGCCGTAACAGTACAGCAGTAATAAATAATCATTAACTGTAAAAAATAACAATGAGAAAACAACATTAAAGGAGTATCACATTTATTGGCTGATTGTTGTGTATTGCATGCACTTTATAAATTACACTGAGACTCATTATAAAAAAATTTGATGAATTAACATCATGAAATCTCCTTAAGCACTAAAAAATAAATAAAACAATCAGTTTGCTTGATATCTTTTGCTTTTACTCTTTTGGAGCTCCTCCTCCAGTTTCTGTATCTTCAAGTCTTTTTGCTCAACTAACATCTTCAAATGGTTGATCTCTTTTTGCTGCTTTTGGTACTCTTGCAACAACTGAAAAATGTGTTTGTTGCGTATAAGTTTGTGTTTGTTGTGTGTGTGTGTGTGTGTGTGTGTGAAACTTTGATTTCGATACATTCAAAATTGATCGAAACATTGTTTTTAAAACATTCATGATTCTGATCTGAAACTTACATTATCTACGCCTATCAGATCATTACAGGTGCTCTATTTAATCAAAATAATTTGAAATAATAGTTCATTCGGGAACACGACAGCATGTAATGAATTGTAAAAACTAGGTAGGGACCAGTAAATCAAAGAGGAAGTTTATAGAGATCAGATTGAGAATTGCAACAAGAAGTCATATATACTTCATTTAATGAACAATGGCTGAACAGCTTATTATGAAAATTTAATGTTTAACATTTAAAAGAATTTAGAATTATAGCTAAAATGAACAAACGCAAACTAAAGAAATAATTAGCAGCATAATTATTAAATATAGCAACACGAACATTTCAGATAATAATTTTAAAAACCAAAAAATAACAACGAAACACCTAAAAATGAATACTAATGCAAACAAATGCTTCATTGTTCAACCTGTTTGTTGAAGAACTCCTCTTTAAATGCTAATAATAACAAGCTAATGCTGAGAGGCATTCAAAATAAAATAAAAATAATAAATTGTGTGAAATGAGTAACACTGTTGAGTTAGCAATAAGATAACAATGTATACCAATACAATATTAGATAAATAAATAAGATCAATATTACAATCCCGATAACTAAGACGATGACGACAAAGAAAATGATATTGATGGTAATGAATTATGGACAGTAAATTGAAGAGATAAACTACCTCTCCATGGCTCATGGAAACATTTGTCGTTGCAGGGTTGTTGTAGCCATCAAATCTTTTAATATTTTTGTTGTTTGTGGTGAAGTTGGTGTTGTGGCCACCGCTTCTGCTGCTTACTTCCGTGCTTGACCTCCTGTTGATTGCTTCGAATCTGCTGCCATTGCAGTTGACGTCGTCGTGTGGCTTCATTGAATTGCCCGTTCTTCTCTCTGCATTTGCTGTTTTTTTGTACGCATTTGTGATATTGTTGTTGTGGTCCAAACTTGTTGACGATGGTGGAGACTTGGAACCTGTTACAATTGTTTGATTGCCGATGTTGGTATTTTTATTGTTGAATTCATTTAAACTTTTTCCTGGAAACTTTCTTGGAGACTTGTCTTGGGGAGAGATTGGAGTTGAGGCTTCAACTTGGTTGTTAAAATTTCCTCCTCTACTGACATTTTTAGCATACAAACTGCTTGATCTCTTAACAACAGACAACGTGGCAGTGGATTTCTGTTGTGACTGCTCTGCATTTTTTGTAGCAGACTGTTGGGATTGTTTGCTAATCTGTGGTGAAACAGTTGACGTTGTTGGAAATGCTTTCGTGAGATTGGGTCCAACTTTGTTAGCTGAACTATCAGTCGTGGTACCATTCAGAAATGTTGAGGCTGCGTTTGGAATTGGACAACCATTGTCAAGAATGGTTTGATTAGAGCCAATGTTATTTTTACTCACATCACAATTGATACTGCTGCAGCTGGTATCGTGTACGATGTTTCTGCCGTGGCTGTTGGTAGCATGTTGATCAAACATCTGAGCAATGGTGTTGACACTAACTCCTTTCTGCACCTCCTTGTCGTCGGCATGAACAGCAGCAGCAAAAATATTATCCTGACTCTTAGTGTGATTATTAGCATCACAATCAACATTAATGTTGTTACAGAGGTTGAGGTTATCATCATAAAGATTGCTGACCGATTTAGTTTCAACGATAGGCTTGGTAAAAAAGTCCCTGTCCTTCACGCTGTTGTAATTTTTGGACTTTTCCCTGACCGATCCAACTCTGATGACTCCCACAAATTCAGGGTTGATGCCCGACTGGTGACTCTTTGATGATAGTCGACCGTTTTTGGCGAATCTTCGATGTCGCGAGTTCATGGAGGCACGTAAGCTGGATGGCAGAATGACGCCATCGTCAGGAGCATCAACTGAAATACAATCCAGCATCTGACGACTCAAACATTTTTCATTCACGTCTAAATCCTGACTGAAACCATCGATGTTTTTATTTGCGTCATCAGATAGCAGCACCACATTTTGAACCATGATAGGTTCTTGTTGCTGGTCTGAACTACCAGCTGCATTGTTGTCGTCTACTACACCAGCATGCTGATAGTTGTTGGAAGCCTCGGTGGCGACAGCAGCGTGCTCCTTGTACTCTGCATGTATGAAGTCAAAACTTCTCAATGCTTCGTTCTCAGACGAACAACTTACACGTTTGTCGTTGAACTGACCGTTGTTTAGGACGCGAGAACTGTCGACGTTAATTGTTTTGTTGTTGGTAGATTCATTGACGAGTTTTTTATTGAAACACCTAAGTATACCTTCGTCAAGAATATTGAATTCGGCGGCTGTAGCATCGCTGGTGTCAGATTTTATATAAACAACACTAACATTATTTCCCGAGGAACTTGGTGATGTTATAGAAGGTGGCGTTGAGGGTTTGCTGGGTGGCTTTCCTGATTTGTTGTACGATTTAAAAGTAATTTTTCTCTCCTCATCAACGACTACATCAGCCGAAATACCATCAGCAGCAGCGTATTTAGTAGTTTGAAGTGGACTCAAGAGCTCCCCGTTGTCAGATGAATCGTGGTCGCAAGAAACAGCTGTCTGGCTGTCATTGAATGCTTCACAATCGGCAACTTCCCTTTCAGTATAAATGCAGTTAGGTGAGATCAGTGGAGCGTTTTTGTGATCATTGTGATCATCAAGTCGTCCGTCATCACTATCATCGGCTTCATCGTTGTAACTGTTCTTGCGCCTCCTCCTCAAAGGGCGTGACCTCCTTGCTGGAGTGGTGGCGCCTGTCGTCCTGGTGATGGGGAAGTGGTGGAAGTTGTGAGGATCGTTGTGGTTGGTGGTGGCAGCGAACGTGTTGCTTCGACCGACTGGCTTCTTTGTAACGTCGCCAATTGGAATTGCAGCGTGTTTTTTGGCGTTGTTGTTGCTGTTCGCAGTGACGTCGTTCCTGTCGTTTGCATGGCTGCCGTTGTTAAAATATTGCTCATCAGACATGCAGTAGTTTAAAGCAAAAAATAATAATTGCTATAAATATGTTTTTAAATATTATTAAATATTATTAATTCCCATATCATCATAAGCATTGATCGAAATTGAAATGAAAGTGAGAAATGTAACAAACAATAAGAGAAACGACATCACTTCTCACAAGTTACAACACTATGGATTTTTCTTCATTTTATAAAATTAGTTCATGTTTAAACAAATAATTCTCAAATCGTTAAAACTGGTTCAAATAATTATTATTTTACAAAACTAAAGCTTATTTTTACAAATTACGCTCAAGAATTCGATGAAGTAAAAGTTATTTCAACGAGATGATTCAAGATTGACAGGATAAGTAATTGCAGGACGCACTCGTGATGAACATGTACACTTGATGGATCAGGTTGTTGTTGCTGCTGCAGTTGCAAATGATTTTGCTGATGCTGGACAGGTTGCTGAAAGGAAGAAACATCACCATCATGATGATTGTTTTCACTACTTGTTGAATATCTTGTTGAATGCTTCGTCAATGAAGCTCCATGAACGAGACCCTTTAAAAAGCCATAGCAAAAATTTCAGTAGTAAGCAATCGGTGTAACTTTAATACATGTATATAGAAATAAGGATAAATATTGACAATTATTCTCTGGATATAGATATAAGTACATAAATGTGAACAGACAGATAGAGCTGTCAAAGTAATCTCCACCGAAGATATGCAGATATCAAACCTCTAGAGATATATAGATGGGCATTTTGTTGAGTCCACTCAGCCACTCGTCAATGGAGAGGGATGGTTCAGACGACTGTGTCGGAGGGTAGATGTCCGGCTGGAACATGTCTGACTGCGGTGGAATTGAACTATGACAACTCAAGGAATAATAAATGATTACTTAACCATGATTAAGCGATCCCGAAACCAGCAAATTTGAAATATGGACAAAAAATGACAATGACTAAATTAATCAAAAAATTAAAATGCATTATAATCGTAGTAAAATAAATTCTTCCCACTTTTCACATTATGTCATTTTGTTATTTTAGAAAAATTCTAATAACTCGAAATGAAATAGCAGGTAAAATGAACGACAAACAGAATGAGAGTCAGCTAACTTTGCGAGGAACAATCATTGAGATAGGTTCACAGACATCCTTCGATGAGTGCAACTTGAAGAATCGAGCTATCTCGCACCTCTTCATATCCAGGCCTCTCTTTGGCATCATGCCTTGTCAATCAACGGAGGTCGGTGGTGGAATAATCATTGGCGAAAATGACATAATAATTATAATGTGAAGAATTGCTGAATGTTTTAAGCAATAAAACTGAAAAATTAACTAAAATTTGTTGATTCGAGTTAGGGTTGTCGGTTCGTCAGACAGTTAGTCTGTCAAATCGGTCAATCATCAATTAATTAATCACAAAATCAATCAATCGGTCAATCAATAAATAATAACCTAATCCTCTTTGGGGAATGCTCGATTGAAATTGGTTGAGAAAGTAGATGTAAGGAGGTTCATCAATTATTTCAACGTACCTGATATTACCATCACCCTGTACATGCCAACAAATCACATGCATAACAAACCACATGTATAACAAACCGCATATATAACAAAACACATACACAACAAACCACATGTATAACAGACTATGTATTTATTACTAGAAAAATCTTATTGACCGAGGCGGGGTAACATGTGTGATGATCATAAAACTATCGACTGATGAAATTGGGAAAACAATTCAACCGTCTGAATATCAACAAAACGGCCCTCATCCTTGTTTGCAAGATAGAGACAACCTCCCCTCCCCCCATAACAAACATGCCAGCAATCGTACATGTATGAAATTGAAATGATCAGCACAACATGAAGGGTGACACAATGTGACGCGCACCTTGCCCGCCAGATATATGATATTGAGATCCGGATCGTAATGTGGGTAGATGAATCCACAGGCCGCATCAACTTCCTCCATGCGAAGTGCTTTCGATAAGTTTCTCTGTTGTTCATCAAAGTAATATTTTTATTCAATCAATAAATTTTGTTTAAAAAATAAATTTAGAACCAAATAAAATTTATCTTGAGCATGTTTACAAATAAACTTCGAACTGTTTGTAATATAGATAGACTAAGTTAAACCGAATACAAATTATGCAGAGACGAATGTATTTAGATATTTTCAATAAGGAAATTAAATGCAAATAAAGTATTGGGTTTGAGTAGATATCAGTAATTGCATGTATGTTGATTGAAGTGAGGCAGTTGCACCTACAGAGTCCCAGAGTGCATGCTGTCGTTGCCCGGATCGTGAGAAACCAGTCGTGAAGAGCAGTTCGTTCTTCAGGAAGACTATGCGACTTGATTTGTTGCCCTGGTGACCTGTTCCTTCCTGTTTGCCAGGATGGTGGTGGTGGTGAGGATGTTGATGTGTTTGATAGCGGAGTATGATGGTAACGTTTGGGCAGAACATAGCCACCAAACAATTTTTTGGCGACTTGATGGCCTAGCGGTTAAGATCGCCTGGTGCTGGTTAGCTGAGCGTGCAGTGATTGAATTCGAATATGACAAAAAGATCCCCGTCTACCGCATGCCCGATATGTGATGCATCCTTAAGCACGCATCCATGTACGTTGTTGTGTGCTGTGAATTTCCATGAACCTGCGAAGAGGCATTTAATCTTTTTTATGCTCATGAGGATAATGATGATAGTAATGTTGATAAGGATAAACATGGCGATATAAATGCTGAAGATGAGAATAATGTCATGGTGTTGAAATGTTTAAAAATTATTTGCAGTATTAATATAAATACGTAAATATATAAATAAAATTAATATATATAATATAATATAAATTTATATATATATACATATATATGCAATATATACACATATATATACATATATATATACATACATATATAAATATATATAATATATATAACTATATATATTAATACATAACTTTTAAACAGTTATAAATTACAAATAACAATTCTCAGCTGATTTATGACAAGTAGTAAGTACATTTAAATTTGTATATGTTCTATTTATTAAAATATTGAAGACAAAAATAAATAATAATCATATGAAAAATATCTATTGCAATAGTTGTTGAAGCATGACAAATATTTGAGAAACAATGTGGCAGTCACATGACAAGTAAGGTACGTTATCATCATACGTACAACTTACAAATTTATGGTTCAAACATTCACTGCGGGTAAATTTGAAGTACACTTGAAACAATGCTGTAATAACATCAAGATGGACAATCTCAAAAACTAAGCAAACAACGTACACATACAGTTAATCATTCGTTTACATTCATAAATTCAGTTAACCTATTAATTAAAAAGATTAATCTGCTTGACATTTTAGTTTTGTAGCATTCAACAATTTCATCAAAACTTATCAATTTAATACAACTTGCAAATGAAAATTTATTTGCAAATCTCAAATTTTGATTTAGTTTTGTAACTTTTGGTCTGTATTTGTAGCTTAAGCACAACTTTATTAGTCTAGTCCATGTTAAAATTTTCGAGTGATTAGAGCCAATGATATGAGGAAAGTCAGAGTAAGGTAACATATATGAAATATCTAAATGCGTAAAAATGACTGTCGGACAAAGTAGTTAGTATTAAATAAAAATGCATGGTCTTTCAATTAAAAACATTCCAGTGGAAATAAAAAGAACAAATTTGAGAAAAACATGTAAATGTATTCAACATGATTATTTTTGAAATCATGTAGCAATGTATGCTCACGAAGCAGTAAAATGTCATATTGAAAAATAAAAAATTCTGTTATAACACTATAAATCATTGAGAAACTAAACTTGATTCAAAATTCTTCCTTGATTCAAAATACTGCAAACAATACTACAATACAATGCTCTAATAATTTAAAATTGTTAAAACATTTTCAATGCACAAAAATAGTATAAAATAAAATTAATTATAAATAATGAATTTAACTAATTGAAACCTTGTAAATAAATACCTATATGAACCAATAACAATGAATAAACAGAATTAATAAATTCAACTAAAAAAATATGCTGAGAGCAAAAAAAGAGTATGATTTATATAAACCTAAATTTATTGTAACAGATGAATCGTGGGAACATAAATTAAATTATCAAATATGTATAAACAAAACTAACAGCCACAACATTGCCAGTCCTGGGACAAATGACTCTGATCTTCTTGTCCTTGCATGTCGTAGCAAACAAGCTGCCATCAATGTTCCAGGAGATGGAGAAAACGAGATCAGGATGGAGTGATATGTTGCTGATTACTGTTGCACTCAGACTGTTCCATACTATGCACTGCACGTGATGACGAGATTTTATACAGTAACTACAAAGTTAGTGCTTAAAATGTGACATAGATTTAAATTTTTATGTAAAAGATTGTCAAAAAGACCAGTGCAATAAATTTAATATTAAATTAATGATATATAACAAATAGTTAGGTACATTAAGTAGAGTACATACAAATAATGATTATAATTGTACTTGAAAACTAATAAGGACATCACAATTTTTCAATAAAGAAGACACTAAGAACTGCAAATGAGGAGCTAGACATAAGAAACCTTGAAATCAGCTCCTGCACTGAGCAGCACTCCCCTAACAGTCGGATGCCATTCAATGTAGCTCACCCTCTTATAATGTGCTGAATTCAGATCTGATACTGGAGTATTCAAGTTACTCTGCAAACCATTCTCTGGAATTTTCCATATCTTAATCTGTATAAACGGAATGGAATATTAAGAAAACGCATATATTATAGAATTTAATTGAATTTTAAATTTACTTTCAGATTCAATTGTGATAAAGACTAATACTATATAAGCTGGATTTAGAAAAACTTGAAAATAATAAAGAATATGTATATACTATATATATAAAGATGCAAATTACCAGTTTGATTTTTTGTTCTAAAATTTAAAAAATATTTTTATAAAAAATTATTGAATAGAATGCTTCTAACAGTTGAATCATCAGAGGCAGATGCAATCATAGTATCATCATGAGGACACCATTTCAAATCAGTGATTGGTGCTCGGTGACCACATACTTTTGGGCTGTTAATCTCTAATCTTCCTGTCTAAAATTTAAATTAATGACATAATAAGATAGTAGACTAATGAAAGTTAGTATGAATTTTTTGTTGCTAATATTTAAAAACAAAAGTAATCTTTTCTGATATTTTACAGTACAACACAAAAATTTATAAGAATAAATAACAAAATTTAAAATTATAAACAAAAATTGAGTTATAAAAAAATTAAATTTTATTTTATAAAATGAAAATAGTAAATTAAAGAATAAAATTTAAAATGAAGTTTGAAACAAAAACAAGATAGCATAGTAACCTTTTCAATGGGTAGAACAACAAAATCTCCTCCACCGGAAGATTCAATGACGACTGCCAGAAATTGAGGATTGACGGCGCAAAAATTAGTGTCGTGTGCACTTTTTGTGGCTTTTAAACCTTCGTAGCAGGCTTCCTTCTTGAACGGGCACCCAAAAACATGGCGGAACTTTGAAGAACGCAAGAACATCATTCACCAAGATCAAGCAGGCCTAACAACGTTAGTTAGGAAAATAAATTTATGGGTCTAAGTAACTTTTCAAATCTGTTTGATAAAAAATAAACGAAAAAACTATTAATATTACTAATTTATTTTAAACGCGCAAAACACTAGCAGACCGTTTAAAAAACCAAAATATAAAAAACGAAAACGATGTAGCTCAAAGTTATTATATTGCGCCAGGTGGAATTCGCTTATTTATTAGGCATGTTGCATTAAGGAACATAGTGTGGATGAATGGAAAAATTTCGCATCTTGCTTTGAAGATTTTCATCTAGATTTTTTCATTGTTTCTACAGCTGGATAGGTTTTATTAAAAAAATTTTTGGTCAATCATAATTCATAAAACTCATAAATTATTATATATTAAAATTACAAATCGATCAACTAACTCAGTTTAATGCTTAATTTACACATTAAAAAATTGTTTTACAAAACGTTTCCTTACTTTAAATGTGAGCATGAAATCCAGAAAAAGAAATTACTAATTGAAGTTTTTTTGTTAATGAAAAACTTTCTGAATTTTTAAAATGATGTCAATCCAAACATGGATTGCACGCACTCAAAATGTTAAAGAAAGTACTTCCTCTAATGTGTCAAAGAACATATCAACTACATTTACATTTATTAGTTAAATTGTACGACTTTTAAATTAACGAAACAGGGCTTCTACATGTTCACTTTAAAAGAAATGTATATTAAATAGAAATTCATGACTATGACAGCAACATTTGTACACATGATTAATATTCAGAAGTTTGAACAGGTACAATATCTCAATTCAGGTACTGTGTCTGAAGCTGCGTATTGTAAGCTCGTCACACACACACACACACACACACACACACACACACACACACATATATATATATATATATATATATATATATATATATATATATATATATATATATATATATATATATATATATATATTTGTATATATATATAGCATATATGGCTCGTCAAAATAAAATCTTTAATATTTGGTTACCTGTCTATTTTTCAATGAATTCGTTAAATTTTATGGGGTGTTACACGCGATGATTGATAATTTGACTATTATAAAAATTTATAAAAACTGTGATTTAACGGTGAAATCAATTCAAAATCTTCTCTTTTGTTCATTTCGTTCGATATCGTTTTAATTGTTTAAATAATATTTCCCTTCAGCTGATAGAATAGTTTTAATGTTAAATTGTAGTGGAGCGCTGCGCTATTCTTCGGTTATTTAACGTTATTTAAAAAACTTAATGGTGACAGCTTTTTACGATTTTAAAAGAATTCTCGATTTTTAGACTAATGAATACAATACAACGTAATTTCTTTAGAACTAATTCTAACATCTAAGATTTTTTCATAGAATGAATAGTGAATAAATTGACCATACTCTATGTATATATACCTTCATATGTTTTTTCAGGTTCACCGACAAAACAGCGCCGAAAAAATGGCGCACGACAAAATAGCGTAAAAAACAAAAAGCCGACGAGATAGCGCAATATAGCGATGTTGGTGAAACTTTGAAGAAATAAAAGCATTAATGTTTTTTTTTTGTAAATAAATTACCTTTAGTGCAGGTTTTTTTTAGACTATCAATTGTAACTTTTCTGGGTTTTATTCCGTATGTTGTGTTTGGTTTTTACTCAATTTTATCGCTAACTCTGGACAAATTAAAAATATGCTTTTTTAGAATGACAATAATTTTTTCAAAAAATTGCATTACAATTGTTATTGTAATTTGTGTTATTTTAATTATGTGTTATTTTAATTATGTGTTATATATATCAAAATGAACCGTTAAATTTTTATAGAAGGATGTGATTAGCTTGTTTCTTGTTCATAATCATAAGTTAAAATAACATTATCTATCATCATTTTAATATCATCGTTACAATCATATTTTTCTTCATCATCTTCTTCTTCACAATCATCATTATCTTCATCATCCACTTCCAAACTAAAACCACCATCATCATTTTTCTCTTCTTTATCTTTACCATCTTCATCACCAGCATCATTATCTTCATCATCTACTCCAAAATTAAGCCCACAGATATGAAAAAGTCAGACACAAACAGCACGGGATTCGAGTTTTGACGTGGTCGGAGTTTCGACGAGCCTACACTTAGAGAGTGGACAGTCGAGCATCTTCAAATTTCATTTTTTTTTAAATTTTTCAACTTCGTTCAACCAAAATTGTTAAAAAATCATAGATTATACAAAGTCAGTTTGATGAGATTAATAAAATGACAATTATTATTAAACATCGTGATCAAGCTGTTTAACATGCAAGTATGAGCTCGCACTTACAAGCTCTTCGTCATTATTTCTTAGCTTGAATCCATAGCATAGTGTTATGTGGTGAAAATTTGAATGAATGTGTGATAGCATGTAATTTGTGTTAAGTGATTCTGTGGAATGGTTAAATTGTACCATTATTTTTATATTCCTAGTGATGATAATAATATTATTATTTTTATTATTATTTAAAATTATAATATTATTATTAGTAATAGTAGTAATAATAATAATTATAAATCAGTTTACTATGTGACAAGAATAACGATAAAAATCAATCAAAACAATTTATAAACTAACATGACATGAATTAAAATTAACATTAATTAAAAACAGCAGTGTAAAAATAATATAGTAAGCATTGATAACACTTAAAAATAATGTAAACAATGACAAAAGCTTGAATTCATTTTCAAAATGTTTCAAAAGCGACAGCATCTTATTCAATCGTTTCACTTACCCAGCAAGGATTCCAGCATTGGCAGACTCTGCAATTGTTTTCGTCTCTATAGTAGCCGAACTGACACTTTTTATTGCACAGCGTAAACTCGGGACATTCATATTCTTGACAGTTCATAAAATATTAGTTCGATTAAATTATTTTATTTGGTTAAAACAATGCAGTAGTAATAATTAGCCAGACAGATTATAATCAATTGCCATCATTCATTAGTCCTCCACAACACTTTTTTAATATTTATTTCATTTCTTTTTCATGTCTTTTATTTATCAAATTAAACAAAAAAATGAGAAAGAAATGATTGAATGAAAAAAAATGATTTGGAAATCAAAAACAAGGTCTTTTACCAACATATATATATATACATATATATATATATATATTATATATATATATATATATATATATATATATGAGACCATATTTTATACAATATTTTATGAATTGTTGGCATTAATCAATTTAAAGTTTGTCTTTTCATTTTTCCTTACTAGAATTCTCTGAAAATTGTTCGATTTGCTGAAAATAGAATTATCCAAGTTCATCATAAAAATTTAATGAAACTTATATAATTTAATAAAATATATACATACTGTCCTATATACAGTTATTAATAAATATCACCGCATTTTCCGCATTGTTGAGTTTGAAACTAAGTTTCAATTTTTCGAACAATTATTTTATCGATATTATTTAATTTATTCAAATTAATAATAAAGCTTTTAATTATTTTAGACTGCATTTTTCATATATACATTTACATAAAAGCTTTTTTCTGTTACCTTCACCATCATCAGTGTAATAGAGTTTGTGATATTCTTATATGTAGTTCACCTGGTATTTATAGTTTTTTTGTTAAAAACCAGTTCGGAAACAATTGTGTGTAAATATATATATATATATATATTTATATATATTTTTATATATATGAGCCGTCAGATATTCCCTCCATTGCACTATCAATATATATATATATTGCACTATCAATATATATATATATATATATATATATATATATATATATATATATATATATATATATATATATATGGGTCGTCAGATATTCCCTCCATTGCACCATCAATGGTTAAAGTTTTGTGGATTATGTGAGAAACTATGACCCTCTGCATGGTGGATTAGTAATATTTTCCGTAACTGTTTGAGATGCCAAAAAATTGTTTTGTTTCCAGTTGTCACGTTTGAAGTTTTAGCAGTTAAATTTACAACCAAAACCATGAATTAATATTGCTCGCTGTTAATAGTCGGGTCCTGCAGAGTTGTCTGCATTATTTTTTAACGAACTGATATTAGTGCTAAAAAATATAACAGCACTAAGTTTTCTTAATGTTTTAACCGGTGATTTCAACGTTCATTGAAAGGGCTAAAGATCCACATGCTGCTAGTCTAATCGATGTCTTCAAAAATTTCTGTTTTAGAATCATGCAAAGGAGCCCAAGCACACACACATATTGATACACTGGATATAATAGTTACTTCAGTCGATTTTCCTGTCCAAGACTGTATGGTATATCCAAATGGAATCCACTCTTATCACAGTTCACTAAAATTGTATTATCAATGACTCGAAATTGCACGGCAAGAATAAAAAAGTAGTCAAATAATAGAATCGTTTTAGTGATGATGATTTCGTTGAACTTGTTCTTGACTCACAGTTATCAAAACCGTGTTTTAACAGAGAATATTGATAAATAACTGCAGTTGTTTGCAAGCGAAATAATATGTTTGGTTGATAGTGTTGTACCAATTCATATGATAGTCACCAATCGTGTTAATTTCGCTCCATGGTTTGATGATGAGTGCAGGCTTTGTCAGCGTGCATGTAGAAAAAAAGAAAAGATTTTCAAAAATAGTTTGCAATAAGTTCATCATGGAAAATGGAAATGTATTTTGAGAAATAAATCAAAGCTTTTTTCAGAGAAACGTCACTCGTATTGGACCAGGATTATCGAGTAAAACAAAACGAAACCTAAAAATCTCTGAAAAGTTTTGAATAAAATTCTCTGCATAAATCATAATGACTATCACTCCCCTATTATGCGTGTACTTACGCCGGATTGATTTTTGTCCTTCTTCAACAACAAACTGAGCAAGGTGAGATACAGCATCAATATCAACGTTCAATCAAACTCATCTGAATGTAGGTAGATCAAATCTCGAGAATCTATTTGCATTGTTTTCAGATGTTTCTGAAGAGGATATAATCAAAATATTAAAAAATTCACCAACAAAGTTTTTTCAGCAAGATGTCTACTTCATAAGGTACTTTCAGATTTTCTGGTGCTGTGTTAGGTTGGTTTGAATTGTATTTGGTTGGTAAAACTCAACAGGTGTTATTTGGTTGTAATGTATCCAAGGTCAATATAGTGTCGTCTGGTGTGTCTCAAGTTTCAATTCCGGGTCATGTTTTGTTTCTTCTGTATACATCTGAAGTATTTAAGGTAATTGAATCATTTGGTTTCTCATATCATGCATTTGCAAATGACATACAAATTATTGTTACTAGCAAACCTTTATCTTTCCTGGTCGAACAAATTAGTTGAATGTTCATCAAAAGTTATTCTGAATTATTCTGAATTCTAACTTGTCAATGAAAAAGCACATTAGAATGCTTTCCGTTGAATGTATGTACCAAATAAGAAATCTCAACCAAATACGTAGATCTCTCGACTCTACGTTGCTGACCTTGGTTCATGCATTTGTGCACTCACGAATTAATTATTGTAATAGTCTGTTTTACGAATTACCTGATAAATCTTTAGCTGTATTACAGATATAGCAGAATCGAGCTGCAAAAGTTGTCGGCGGTTTAAAGTATGATCATGTTTCACAAATATTGAGACAACTGCATTGGCTGACGGTCAAAAAAAAGAATAATTTTCAAAATATCAACTCTAGTAAACAAGTCAATAAATCGTCTTGCACTATCTTATTTGTCAGAAAAGTCTGCAAAGAAGTTGCCAGCTCCTTCTGGAACGCATCTGCGGTCCCGTGATCTAAACCTGCTGCTAGTTCAAGTGACGTGCCTTCATACAAGCTCTTGTAACATCGCCATTGCAGGACCGTCTGTTTGGAACAATTTGCCTGAGTTGGAATAGCATGATTTTAAAAGAAAACTGAACACTTTTTTATTTTCGTCGTGGTTTGTTGATTTGTTTTACTTGTCCTTTGTGCTGTGTTAAACTACGAAAACTGAACAATTTTTTGTTTTGGTTATGATGGATTAATTTTTTCTTGCTCATTGTGCAATGTTTGGTTAAAGAAAAACTCTAGAATTTTTTATATAGTATTATTTCGTTGCAATTCACTGATTTTCTTTATTTTACTTGATTATGCCATGCTCAGTTAAAATTATTTTGATAGCGCTTTGAGACCCTTTCAATTTGCACTTTATAAAATTTTTCATTAATAATAATAATAATATATGCATACTATAAATTGGATCATCTTTTGTAAAGATAGATATGCTTTCGCATAATCAAATTAATAGAAGTCTTTGAAGGAAACATGAAGATTGAAAATGCAAAATAAAAACACTTTCAACAGCAGCATTGCATAATAATATAATTCACATTTAAGTTATCAGAACTATTGAATTGAAAAACGGGCCAAAGTTTACCGCATCTTGCAGTCTTAAGTGGTTTGCACGGAGGGAAGTTGCAAAAGGTATTTATGGCAGGAACGCAACGGTAGCCAGGCGGGCAGAAGTTTACCTGCACGTTGTGTGTATGTGTGTATTTTTGTATTTATATGCTATGTATGTATTTGTGTATTTTAGTATGTATGTGTTATGTATGTATTTGTGTATTTTCGTATGTATGAGTTATATATGTATGTGTGTATTTTTGTATGTATTTGTGTATTTTTGTATGTATGTGTGTATTTTCATATATATGGGTTATTCATGTGTACAGACCACCTAACTAATTTTCAGGATTTTCTCTCCAGCTTAGAAATTATTCCACAAAATGATAAATTTTCCTCTTACATTGTTAGCGACTTCAATGCAGACCTGTATGAAGATTCCAATTATCTAATTTATCACAATTTATTTTCAAGTTATAATTTCACACCGTTAATTATTTGCCAACAAGAGTCACTACTCCCGCATCATCCACAAATGACAACATATTTACAAATGTCAAGAATACTAATCGAAATTGTGTGACATCTTCTCGGAACACTTTCCTATTTTTTTCTATTTCAAAAACTTTGATTTCTAATTTCAAATTAGAAAAACATTACATAGAAACTTCTCTAAACCGGCTATAATCAACATTAAAAGATGATTAACTGCGACTAATTGGGATCCTTTTCTTGTAAGTGACGTCTTATTGCTACATTCTTTTGTCGGTGAGTCTCAGGTTACTAATAATATAATGAATAATTATGCGCCACTCAAGTAATGTATTTGTATATTTTCGTGTTTATGTGTTATGTATATATTTATGTAATTTCGTATGTATGTGTGGATTTTTTATGTGTGTGTTATCTCATGTATCTATGCGTGTAAGTGAAAATTCCGTTGAGCCAAATTATCGAGAAGTCTTCAGAGGAGGAATTGCCGTCGACAAATGTTTCGGCCCTTAACAACGTCCTTACATTCTCGGGGGACCGGACCACGTTTGTTGATCACTCGGACGCTTCTCGATGACTGTTGATTTTTCAGCGGTGTCAATCTGTTATTTAGATCAAAATTCAGCTTTATATTTCCATACGAAGTCGTATCACTGTAACCATGGCTTGCTAATTTAGCCGACACTTCTTTTATTTCTATTCAGTCATAACCAATGCGAAGTTTGCACTGCGCTACAAATAACTATTTTCAGGCATGCTGTACGTTTCCCGCCTGACAGTTCCATCTTTTTGAAAAGTGCATACATCGACGCTCCCGCTGTTCCTCTTGCCCCAACCTCAACAGCGAAGAACCTGGTTTTGTATTCTTAATTGTTTAAATCTTGAATCAGCTGTTCGTACTTTGCAGTTTTTACGTCGTGGCTACTGAGCATGTTATCTTTGTACAACACAGTTAGCTTAATAACAATAATTGAATTCGTATTCTCAGATGCCATTACCATGTCAAGTTTCATGCCTGTTTCTTTGATGTACGACGGAAAATTTTGACTTTCTTCCAAATCAACGTACACAACCCAATTGTTGGCGTTTTTTAAGATACCATCTTTCACTCGGTCATATTTGACGTCTCTGCTTTGTCCTTCTCTTAGGAAATATACCTTCGGGTAAACAGCAGACTGAGATTTGGCGTCATTGCAAGCGGAACAAACCGTTTCTACTATGCTTTTCAAAACCTTGTTGTGGCGCCATGTATATCCAATTTGTAGTGAAGTCGTTAGTGGCAAATCGCATCCTGAAACCGCTGAAATAATTAATGCTTGTGTCTTTGTATGTATGGATGCCTATGACATTTCAGCTATCGGTCGGCGAGTTAGCTGGTCGGTGAGTTAGTTCAGTCTGCAGAAGTATCATGTCTTTTGCGGTTACGCACTGGCCTGGTTCGAACGCTGTCTGTCCAAGACTCAAGTATTATTATAAGCCAGGCTTGAACGATGCGGTGCTCGCGTGTGCCTACGTAATGTGTACGTAATTCTGTGGTCTGCATCTGCATAGTGTACAGCATTTGCGCGGCTCGAAAGTTTAACATAATTATTGAGTAACATGTAAGGCGATCTGCGTTTATCAGATTTACATTAATAAAGGACAAAATAAACTACGTAATAAAATTAGTTAATTACTGTCAAAAAGTAAAATATTTTGAAACAACTCTTAATCATTTTAGTTACCAGCTACATTTTAGCTACTGCTCATTAATTTATTACGACAAGTTTGGCAATTCCCAACTGAATTGTTGTTTATCATTTGTTCATTCATTTAGCAGCTAATAAAATACTTCTGTTTAGTTTGCTTCAAATTTTTATAGACTTTGTGATTAATTAATTAATTCCTTCATCCATTCATTTATTTAATAATATATGTTTTGCTAAGATGAACATTTTGTGTTAAAAAATCAGTGTCAAATCAACTTACTCACTATAGTCAGTGTAAGGAAATATCTTCAAGATCCCATGTAAGAATGTGAGGAGCCACGAGGATCAGTATGTAACACGCCAACTGTATCATTGCTTGTCTTTAATTTTTATCTTTCAACGTAAACTACGGATAGTCAGTTCTATTAAAAATCTAGTTTCAAAAATTTCTAAAATCGGCCGCTATACATTCGCTAAACGTCGTTTAAATATGAAAATTACTATATACTATATTACTACATATATAAATATATGCTATATGTATATAATATATTTTTTTATTTTGGTTTCGTGGGTATATATATGTGTGTATATATATATATATATATATATATATATATATATATATATATTATATATATATATATATATATATAACCAAATATCTACGCTTGATACGTTGATGATATCTTTGTCTCCTATAACGATCCTGAACAAATCACCCAACTTCTTGGTACCTTAAACAAATCAAAACTTAGATTTACCATTGAAAGTGGAAAGGAACAACGTTTACCTTTCCTCGATGTGTTGGTCACCCGTGGCGAAGAACGATTCAAAACCGCGGTCTATGTCAAAGAAACGAATACAGGAATTTGTTTGAATGGACAAAGTGAATGAAATGAACAATTTAAAGACAACACAATAGAATCATTTGAAAACCGGGCATTCACACACTCTTCCGATATTGAAAATCGCGACGCTGAATTAAAAAGAGTCACCAACCTGCTTGTAAACAATGGATATTACTTATTCTATTGAAAAGATTGTTAAAGGCAAATTACTACACAGCAATAACCTTCCTAATACCAACAATCAAGATAACGACATCGTCTTGTATTACAGAAATCACATGTCAACTGCATACAAAGTAGATGAAGCTATTCTTAAACATATCATCAATAAAAATTTAACACCAACCAACCCAATTAGTAAAAGTAAACTCCGAATTTATTACAACAATAAAAAAACGTCTCACCTTATACTGAAAAATGATTGTAGTCCTAGAGATAACTCTGTGTTAAAGCGTAATCAAGTAATATATGAATTTAATTGCCCCTTTGACGGCTGTGCACGTCAACATGATTCATATAACGAGATTACTACTACCTCACTGACTAGAGGGCTTACGATGCATAAACTGAATGGTGCTACCAAATCTCATTTGGACACACAACACGCAATCACTATAAGCCGTAAAATCCTCGACAGCAACATCAAAGTAATACACCAGAACAGCAACTACACGCATCTTAAAATTGCAGAAGCAGTCCTAATTGACATCAATAAACCAAAAATAAATATACAACAAAAAATGACAACCTCACTTCCAACCCGGCGCTTTATCAACAATGAAAACAAAGAAGTAAAAAAAACTAGCATTGTAAATAATGACAAAAAAGAATATGATGCTATCGATGAAGAAAAGCCTGCCCTGGGTGAGCGTCTTTTCAGTGTTGCTGGACAAATTCTAACTGATAAACGCTGTAGATTGTCTGATGATCATACCAATAAAATGATTTTCTTGAGAAATCATCTTAAACACCACACATTTAAAAAAACATTTATTAAAAAAATATATATATATGCTGGTTAATAAATTTACAAAAATTTTCAGAATGGTTTTTTTGTAATAATAATGAATAAAAGTAGTTAAAAAGTAGTAAACTATTATGAAATAGTTAATAACTACTTTTCTTGAAAGTAGTTAAAAAGTAGTTACTAACTATGTTTGATTGTTTTTAGTCAAGTAGTTAACTACAGTTGTTCACTACTTTTTTGGAGCAGTTAACCCATCACTGCTGAGTTTTATTTTATTGGTATTATTGGCAATTCTTGAACAATTTCAGAAAATTCTAGTGAGAAAAATTGAAAAGACGAACTTTAAATTGATCAATGCAAACAATTCGGTAGACATCATGCAATACTGCATAGAACATTGTCTCCTTCCAAAATATGTATAAATGTACATGTATATATGGATTGATTGTACGTCAGTACAGTAATTATCTAACCAAACTGTTCACTGTAGCAATTATATAAAATAAAAATTCAAAAATAATAGCATTAAAAACTTTTACGGTAATTTAATTAATGAATGTGTGTGTTTGTTTGGGTGTGTCTGTCTGTGTGAATGTGTTGTGTGTGTTTAAGGCACTTAATGATTTGGTTACAAATATAAAATAAATAAAATAACAAAACGATAATTGCAGTTGCAATTTGGATAACCACATCTAAAAATTTGAAAATGTTGTTAGGTGAATATTTTGTACTTGCCAAAAAAACAGTGGAAAATTTGTATGAATAAATTGATAATTTGGAAAATTTTATTTATCATCTAAACTTTTTATTAATAATAATTTAATAAAATAGTTGAATACACTATTCACTATTTACATTCTATAGTACAAGTACAATACAGCATCATAGCTGAAACTAATTAACTTAGTAAACTGAAAGTAAATCCGTTAAGATGAGTTTTTAATTATAAATGAGCGTCTTAATGCCAACCCATTCAGTTTTTTTTAAAGGTGGCGGTTCTCAAACTTTATTCTCAAGCCTTCATTCACATCTGTATTTGAGCTCCTGACCAGACGTCCATGCCACAGAACAACCGTTAGGACAGTTCAACTCCTGGTGTTTCAGACATTTTGCTAGTTGTCATAAATTTATTATTTCGATTGTTGAATAAATTGACAAAATCATGTTGATCATTATTTTGATTGTTGAATAAATTGACAAAATCATGTCATGGATGTAAATGAAAGGATAAATGAATTAGTGAAGAAACAAAATGATGGAGAGATGGATGGAATGTAACCGACAGCACATGGATCGGCACACCAGCAAGCTTTGCATCCATTGGCGTCAGTTCTGTATCCAGTTTTGCATTCCAATTTGCAGTAATTCAATGGACAAGAAACAACTGATCGTTAATTTGTGTTTGTGTGCGTTGTCATTTATCATTTATCATGTTACATATATTTATCGAGGAACTAATTCGGAACATGATGTGGTTTTCACCAACAAGTGCAAGTGCATTTTTGTCAGTCTCATAAAACAAGGTCACCATCCAACGAATGTATACATGTACATGTATATATGGGTTGATTGAGAGTCAGTGCAGTAATTATCTAACCGAACATAATGTTCACTGTAGCTATTATATAAAATGAATATTCGAAAATAATTGCTTAAAAACTCTTACGGTAATTAAGTTAATGAATGTGTGTGTTTGTTTGTGTGTGTGGGTGTAAGTGTTTGTTTGTGTGTGTGAGTGTTTGTGTATCAATTATATTGAACAATTTTTTTGTTATTTGTAAAATTTCGATAACCACATCCAAAAATTTTAAAATGTTGTTAGGTGAATTTTTTGCCCTGGCCAAAAAAACAGTGGAAAATTTGTTTGAATAAATTGATAATTTGAAAAATTTTATTAGACCTCTAAACTTTTATTAACAATCGTTTAATGAAATAGTTTAATACATTCTATAGTACAAGTACAATACAGCATCATAGCTGAAACTAATTTACTTAGTAGACTAGAAGTAAATTCGTGAAGATGCGTTTTTAAATATAAATGAGCGCCTTAATAACATTAAATAATGAGCGTAGATTAAAATCCACGTGCTCATATCAAATATGTGATAATAATTTAAATGTCCAAAAAACAATAATAATATGAAATAGTAATGAAAAAAATAAATAAATCAGTAAATACAATAATAATAACAACAACAATACAAATTAACTACAGTACCATATCTATAACAAAATAATCGAATATATATAGATGCAATATGTATCTGTCTGTCAATCCAGCGCATAGTCTTCATCGCCGGTACCAATGACCACCAATTTACCCATCACACCATCCGTCACTTCATCCCAGTCATCACCAATCCAGCCTCACGACATCGTCTACTGCAGACAAGCCTCGTAGCTACACCATCCTTGTCGACCCTGAAACTATTAGAAATAAATGTAATTAGCTCCAAATTAGTTAATTTAACATCTACCGGTGTTGAGAATCTATGCCAAAATCTTAGAATTATAGACGGTCATTCTCTTACCTAATTATTAACATAATGAAGTCTCAATGCAGAAAACAAACAAATAAAACAGAACAAACACACCCGCCCAATTAACAACAACTTCACAATTGACCGGTGCGTATCATGTCGGAAGCGACACTACCAATTCTCAGCACCTCAGTCACACAAGTGCACCTAACATAGAATGTGTATCATATATATCGTTATCTTTACTTATATAACTAAACCAATGAATACATCATCACAAAGCGTATAAGCACATACACATTGCTAAACACACATCTGCACATCGCCCACAAACACACACGAATACATTCCAGAGGATTACGAGTTTATCTAGGCGCTTTCGCTCTCCAGTTGTATTTAAAACTTTCATTCATCCAATAATCATCCAAGGAATTTTTAAATCTGTCAACAGTGGCACAGTTCACTATATTGGCAGGTAATTTATTCCACACAGGAATGATACGACAAGTAAAAAAATGCTTTTGCAAGTTACTTTTGAACCCGATATTCCTAAGTTTTTTATCATGTCCTCTTGTTCTTTCATTCAAGTACAAAGACATTTCAGAATAACAATCTTGATCATTCAGGTCAAGAAATTTTTTAAACAACAAAATCAGATCTTCTCTAACTCTTCGGTACTTCAACGTTGGCAACCCCAAATATCTAAGCCTATCCTCATAGTCTAGTCCCCTGCATTCCCTTATCATTTTTGTTGCTCTCTTTTGAACTCTTTCAATATACTCTACCATCTCTACTTTCCACGGCGACCACACTGGAACCGCATATTCCAGAACCGACCTTACCATTGTTTTATATAAAATCAAGAAAGAACTTTTATTGAGATATTGAAAATGCCTGTGAATCATGCCCAACATATAATAACCTTTCTTTACAACTGCAAAAAAATGATCATCAAATTTTAAATTATTATTAAATGTAACACCCAGATCTTTGAAATTATTCACACAATCGAGATTTAAATTATTAATACAATATAAATTTTTATCATTATTCTTGCCAAACCTCAAGCTAACACATTTTTCCACATTCAACAAAACATCATTCCTCTCACACCATTTGACAATCAAATCCAAAACATTCTGTGTAATTCTGACATCATCATGAGATTTGATTCGTTTGAACAATTTTGCGCCATCTGCAAACAAAAAAAATCGAACACCTTCACTATCAGCACAAACATCAAAATCTTCATTAATGTAAATGATAAACAAAATTGGCCCCAACAAGCTCCCTTGAGGCACCCCACTTTACACACAACGCCAATCCGATCGAACATCACTAACCACAACAGAAAATTTTCTGTTCTTCAAATACCCTCTAATCCAACTGATTATTTTATCATCAACCCTGTATAGAATTAATTTTTGTAGCAATTTTGTATGGGACACCTTATCAAAAGCCTTCTCTAAGTCCGAGTAAATAACATCCACTTCCTTCCCATTGTCCACCGCATCCGACCAATTATCCAATATTTTCAACAACTGCAAAGTCGTAGATCTACCCTTCATAAAACCATATTGATATGAACTAAACAAACAATTATTGTTAAAATGCAGCGACAGTGCTTCTTTAACAAAATGTTCTAAAACTTTACATGAGATACAACTTAGTGATACCGGCCGATGATTTTTAACACAAAAAGGCGATCCTTTCTTAAAAATTGGAACGACATAACTTAATTTCTAATCACTTAGTAAAAACCCAGAATTTAAAGCAATTTTAAATAAAAAATTTAGATATTCACACACTGAACCGGCACATTCTACAAGTACATGTGAAAATAAGCCATCAGGGCCTGCAGATTTAAATTTATTTAATGAAACTAATTTATTGTAAACTGAATGGCTTGAAATTTGTAATTCTATCATTTCTTTAATACCATATTCATTTATTACAACATCATACTGAACACCATCCCCGTTGCTATAAACGCTAGCAAAAAATGAAGCCAGAGCATTAATCTTATCAACATCATCAACCAAAGTAGTTTCATTACCTTCATCATCTATATTGACCAAACTGTCAAGATTACCCCTATTATTACCTAGTTTACGTACGTGATTCTAAAATACTTTAGGATTTGATTTTATTCGACAACAATAACATATTATCTATTTTTAATTTTAATATTTTGTTTTTGATGGAATTCCTCAAAGTTTTATATTTTATAAAAAAATTGTTGTTCTTTGTTTTTAAATATCTCCTCCACACTCTGTTCTTTTCCTTAATATTATCCAACAAATCAATTGGGAATTTGACTTTTGTACCAAGACTCCTATTAAAACCAACTGGAATATACAGCCTCATCGAACTTACCTACAAAATGTTTCCATACACAATCAAAAAATCCTGGTCAATCATATTGCAACTCAAAAAACTATCCTTACTATTGTCATACAAATATTTTTTAACACAGCAGTTCATTTTTGAATAATCTGCCTTATCGAAGTAAAATTTATTTTACTTACCCGGTTTAACAAAAGCTTTAATATAAATCAAAAAATTTATTAAAACATGGTCGCTCTTACCAACAGGGTTCTTGAAATCTATGTTGTGAATTAAATTTGTATCTTCAACAAACACCAAGTCTAAAATATTTTTAGCAGATTTATTCCAAAATCTAGTCGGTTTTCTTATAAGTTGGGATAGAAAAGAGTCTCGCACAAAATCTAAGAATTTTTGTTTCACCGATCAAACATTTTTTATAGTCATCATATTTTCCCAATCAATAATTGGAAAATTAAAATCCCCCACTATAACCTTAATTCCCTTAATTTTCATAAAAGCTATCAACAATTCAATCAACTTTAGATTGTTTGAATAAGCCGATGAAGGACTTCTATATAATATCAAGATAAATAATGGTTTATTAACATTCATTATCTCAACTACAATTCCACAATTACATATGGATTAACACAAAAGTCCCAGATATTTGGCGTCAGGCAATAGTCGTGCCCATAAACCAACCAAAAAAAGTTAAAACTCATCCAAATAACTACAGACCAATTTTATTAACTTGTTGTACCTGCAAGATCATGGAGAAAATAGTTAGTAATTGACTAAATTTATTTCTCGAAAAACATCAAATTTTGTTTAAATATCAATGTGGAGATATCAAAGGAAGATCTACGTTAGATCATTTGATATCACTGGAAATTCACATAAGACAAGCTTTAACACAGGGTGACTCTGTTCTTGGACATTGAAAAGGCCAATGACACAGCTTGGAAATATGGTATCCTATAAAAATACATGAATCCGGATTAAGAGGACGTTTTCCTAAATTCATTCTAAGTTTTTTATCAAACCGGTCATTTAAAGTCAAGGTCAATGATGTCTTTTCAGAAACGATGCATCCAGAGTTGGGCATCCCTCAAGACAGCATTTTGTCATCAAAATTATTCTGTCTTAGCTTAGATAACATCACCATAATAATTCCTAAAAACACGATGATCTGCCTTTTACATGGATGATGTCACAATCACTTTTAAAAATAAAGACATGATAAAAATGCAGAATAAAATAAACAGAACGCTAAAATCTATTAAAAATTGGGCATTGGAAAATGGAATAAAATTTTCTGAATCAAAGTCTAAAGCTATGCTTTTCTCAAAAAAACAAAAGAGGATTTTTCCAAAGTTAAATTTTCTTGAGTTTTCACAAGAATATAAATATTTAGGAATAATATATGACACAAAATTAAATTTCATTCCCCATATTTTGAAAACAAAAAGAAAATGCCTAAAAGCACTCAATTTAATCAAAATGTTATTCCAAAATAAATGGGGAGCAGACCAAATGCATCTGATCAGAAATCAAATTTTCCAAGCAACGATACAAGCAGTATTGGATTATGGTTCTCCAGTATATGGCTCTACACGAAAATCCTACATGAAGATTCTACACCCAATAGTTAACGAATCGTTAAGAAGGTGTCTAGGAGCATACAGAACATCACCATCCATAAGTCTCCATGTTTTGGCAGGAGAAATGCCACTAAATTTAAGACATTAAAAATTAGCCTTAAATTACTTTCTAAAAATTAAATCTCATTTGAAAAACCCGGCATATAAATACATAACAGCAAAAACTAAGGCACCAAAATCAAAATCAATTCCAACATTTCTAATAAGACTAAATGAATTCATTAAAGACATTAAAAATATAAAGACTATAGAAGATTTAAAGTTTGAATATCATCCTTGGTCGCTAAAGCACCCAGAAATAGATACGACAATAACAGGAATGGGCCAAGATGTAAAACTAGCAAAAACCTTAGTTAAAGAAAAAATTAATAACAATTCAAACTTTATTCAAATATATACAGATGGATCAAAAAGGGAAAATTCAACGTCTGCAGCAATGTAGGCCTACTGGTAAAGGAAACGTGTTCACGGATTAATGATGCACCTACCAGAACCTGCTTCAATATACACCGCAGAGATCCATGCTATAGACATGGCTTTAAACTTTATAAATAATTCAGAAAAAAATAAATTCATAATATTTTGGATTCCTTGTCTACTCTATCAGCCCTGAAGCAATACAAACCTCTAAATCCATTAATAATTCAAATGCAAAATAAGATTCATAATATCCTGGATAGCAACAAAAAATTAATTATAATGTGGATCTCCAGCCACATTGGAATTGAAGGAAATGAAAAGGTAGATCAGATGGCTTCTCAAGCTCATTCGATGCCATTATCCAGAGTTCCAATTCCGTCCAGTGATTTAAAGAACTTAACAAACAACCTTATTGTTGAGAAATGGCAGCAGGAGTGGAATAAAACATCAAATTTCTTAAAATTAGGTATGCCATCAGTAAATAACAAAAAGCTCAAAAATAGTTATTTAAATCGTCATCTTTAGGCTGTTATCAATAGATTAAAAATAGGACACTCAGCAATCACACATTCCTGAATCCTCAACAAAACAAAGCCACCTTATTGTAAAGCCTGTGACAAAAAACTGTCTATTCAGCATAAATTAACTGAATGTGAAAAATACGATCAGATCAGAAAGAAACTCGGGGTTCCATTAAATGTAGAATTGCTCTTCCAGAATAGAAGTCAGGAAGTCTTGATATAATTTGTGGGGGAGATAGATTTGATCAACAGAATTTGAAGTTTTCAAGATGTCACAACAAAATAATCAGTTTCTAATGATACAAGGGCGTTAAAATACCCGCATCGGGCTGAAACGCCGTTAAGCTGCAATAAAAAAAATTTCCTTAAATGTTGATTCAGATATACTTGCAATTTTCCACTGACACATAGAATTACACAACTTACATTGCAGCATGTTCCTTAAAACAACCCTGTTAGTTTTATCCTTTGCTGACATTTATTATAGCAACAATGAAACAAGACAAAAATCAAACTCTATAATTGCAACAAAACCTGTAATAACAAACACCGCTTCACCCGTCCACACACGCACCAAGCACAATACATTCTATCACCTGTGTTATGTCTATTATAATAAATGTATAAACAATCAAAATTACGAAATCAAATTTCTCAATAAATAGCGTAATAGAAACAAATAAACAGAAGAAATAACACAAACAACTTCCCATTAACATTCTCTGTTATCCAATATCAAAATTATTTAAAATAATTAAAAAAAAATTAGAAAAATTTTCATAAAACTTACGAACGAAACTTTCAAAAAACTTTCAACCTGCACGCACATTATATTATATAACGCATTTAGTTTTTTTTAAAGTGGCGGTCCTCAAACTTTATTCTCAAGCCTTCATTCACATCTGTATTTGAGCTCCTGACCAGACGTCCATGCCACAGAACAACCGTTAGGACAGTTCAACTCCTGGTGTTTCAGACATTTTGCTAGTTGTCATAAATTTATTATTTCGATTGTTGAATAAATTGACAAAATCATGTTGATCATTATTTTGATTGTTGAATAAATTGACAAAATCATGTCATGGATGTAAATGAAAGGATAAATGAATTAGTGAAGAAACAAAATGATGGAGAGATGGATGGAATGTAACCGACAGCACATGGATCGGCACACCAGCAAGCTTTGCATCCATTGGCGTCAGTTCTGTATCCAGTTTTGCATTCCAATTTGCAGTAATTCAATGGACAAGAAACAACTGCTCGTTAATTTGTGTTTGTGTGCGTTGTTATTTATCATGTAACATAACAACACGTGCATCATTTTGATTTGTTTAACTCGGCGTTCGTACGATAGAATGCAAACGGTTTGATATTATTTCATGCTCACCCAGACACACACACATATGGTAATGGGTTAAAAACTGATTTTATAAAAACAGGTGAAATAAAAAATTTATGTGTGTGAATTTTTTGACGAAATATAACAGTAACCATAACCGGACACACACACACACATACATACATGGATCACAGTGTACCAGGACGGTGAGGCATGGAGGGAAGTTGCAGTCTGCCATTCTGTAGGTGCACTCCGTTCCAGCGGGACATACATCCACCTTTGTTCGTATTATGTGTGTGTGTGTGTGTGTGTGTATTTGTTTGTGTGTTTGTTTGTGTGTGCTGCTGTCTTTGAGAAACTGTTTTATATTTTTAGATTTAAATGAGTGTTTTTATGATTTTAGGATGTTAATTTTAACTTGAAAACCAAAGATAGGATGTTAAAATGTGAAACAAAAATTAGGAAAAACTATGTCATTGAATTAAAAGCTCATTACAAATTTTTCTATTTTGTGTAGCAGCATTCAATTTTTTTTAACGTTTTTTACCAGGGCATCCAACCGTAATTTTTTTCGTTTCAGTCAGCCAAACGAATATCGGTTCGGTTCCGGTTTTCGTTCCTGAAACAAGATCGGTTTTTTTTGTTTTCGGTTTCGCTCCGAAACATAATTTTTTCAAGCATAGTTCCTTAATCGCACGTAACGGACATCCAACTATCACCACAATGTCAATTTGAATTAAATTTTTGATTGTGAATAATAAGACATCAATAATAAAAATGATTTTTAAATGTTGTCAGTATTAAAGGAAACATTTCTAATACTTTTTTTTCAACAAATTAAAACAATCATTACAAAGATATTTTAAAATCATTCATATAAATATAAGATTGTTTTAAAAAGATGAAAATTTTCTCTGATTTTTAATATATCTTCTAAAATGGTTTTATTGAAACCACTTCTGCAGTCTCTGAGGATAAATTTTAATCTAAAAACAGATGTTTCCAGGCTCACTTATGTAGCTGGTACTTCAAAATTTTGAAGATGATCGCACATGATCTCTAATTTCTCCGATTATACTGGATTTTTCTTCACGTGGCAATTCTTAATCAAATTATCGGCGAACTCAGTCAGAAAAACAAACGAAAAAATAGATAACAAATTTTCAAAGATAATAAAAAATAATATATAGTTTCAAAAGACGAAATATTATCAAAATATTTTTTTTCTAAATTTGACAAACATTTTTTCTTTTAAAGTTTTAGCATGCAACCGTTATATATTTCGTTACGGTTTTCGGTTTCGGTTAAACTAGCAAACAATATTTCGGTTTGGTTACGGTTTTTGTTCCGAGCAAAATTTCGGTTTTCAACGGTTTTTGGTTACGGTTTAACGGTTTTTGGTTACGGTTCAGTTCCGGTTCGATGCCCTGATTTTAACTTTGCATCAGTGCAGCTGCAACGTTCTTCATGAATTGAAATTGAAATGCAAAAATGTTATGTTAAAAAGCTTAAAATGCTTCATATCGTTATTAACAATGAAAGGTGATGAAAAATGGAAACAAATTAAAATCTTGCGGGGAAAAATTGTGAAACGAAAGGAAAAGAAACGTTTCTTAAATAACTGTTTGAAAAATAAACGTGTATGATGAAAAATAGAAATTGATAGCAACCTTCAAATTCGAGCTTTTTTTATATATTTAAATATGACCTGTAAAAAATTGTAGTAAAGGGTGTGATGGTAAATGGTATGATGGTGAAGGGTGTGATGGTAAGGACCTAGCCGCAGCAGTTTAATAACTAATGATGATGGACGAGGTGATGATGCCAGCAAACATGCAACGTACTAACAGATTGGAGGCACTTGTTCTGGCACCACTTACACGAGCATCCGTTTTCATCTGGTTCAAATTTGGTCAAGGTCATGGTCGTGTCATGCAGGTACGTTTAACGTTTGTTTGGTGTTTGTCGATTTAACGCAAATTATTTATTTGTAAATTGATAACAAATTACATTTTTTACATGATTTCAGCATTCATAACTGTTTTTCAACATTAACGCACGATCGATTAAAAATGTTATTTATTTGTAATATTTTTAAAAGATAAAGTCATTAATAGTCACCATATTCTGACACGAGCTTCTGGCAGGGGAAATTGTTGATGTTGTTGGTCAGACAGACTGGACAGTTCTCAGGCACCACTAATTATCATAATGATGATGATGATGAGATGATGATGATATTTTCATCATTATATCACAATGGTGATAAAAGTGAGTTTGTTTATAAAGTCAAAAAACGATATTTAATTTAAAATAAAATTGTTAAAAATTATAAAGGCGAAACGGAGCATTGATAGCTATTGACTGAATAGTTTTCAAAAACAAGCAACATGTTTTGTTTACTAATTCTGTTCGCGCTATCGATGAGAACGTCTAACTTGTGAAAATGACTTGAATATCGTAAATATAAATGTGCAATTGAGATCTAGGTTGTATGTAACAAATAGTACAATACAACTTTAATTAACGGCACGTACTGACTCTGATATTTCATCAAAACTTATAAAAAATGAAAAATTTTACAATGCTCAAATAATAAAATAATTCGAAAATATACATTTAAATAGTTCGTGATCACGTGCATCACTAAATACGGCATAATATTTTTTTAAATATATTATCTCGCTGCTTGTAGATACAATTTGTTGACGATTTTCATTAAAGTTTGGCAGGTAAGGTAAGAAGAAGTCAACGTACCATCATTAGCAACCAAACTACCAATGAAAGTGGTTATAAACGTGCAGGCAACAAATAACAAGAGAGTCAACAGTTTCATAATGTCGTTATAAATAAACAATGATATTTTTTCTTCGCTTTATTTACTTTAAGCTTTGGACGATGAAATTATAAAACATGAGCACTGTGTGTGTACAACTTTTTAAAAAGTTAAAACGCAGTTCATCCGACATCTCCCTCATCACGACAATTCATCGGAAATTATACAAGACATACATGTTTCTCTTTCAATTCATTTCTGAATGTTCGGGTTTCATATTGCTTGTGGTTGATTGGTGTGAATACTAAAAATACAACGCTGGCTGACCAGTTTCAATGAAATTTAACAGAGCTAAAACGATAACCAACACATATTTTATTAATTTTATATGCTATCAAATAAATAAATAGATTTAATTAATTAAAAATAAATAATATATATATACATATATATTTTATTTATTTTTAAGTAATTAAATCTATTTAATATATATATATATATATATATATATATATATATACATGTTGAATGTGTCATTATATAATTATTTTTATTTTAATATTAAACAACAGTTTTACGGATCAAAGATCAAACTTCTGAAACGAAAACAAAACGTGATGACGACGATTATGATGATAATTATGATGATGAAGATGATGATGAGGATAAAGAGGATGAAGATGATGAAGAAGATGAGAATGAAGATGATGATGAGGATGATTATGAAACGTTGTGAATGATGGATTTCAACAATGTCGTCAGTCATAGTTTGGTGACGTTGTTCCAAAACGTTCGATCGTTGGTTGGTATTTATTTTAAGTTTATTTATGCTTCAATTTCATTTGTTTTTAATAACATAAATTCGCAGTTGAGATCATTTATATCTTCTGTTCCTTTAAATTCATTTTTAAAAGTTATTGAATGTTAATATCCAAACTGGCGTAATGCATTTTTTAACTCATTCACATTTATTAATTCAGTTTTTGGAGATTTTATCATAAAACGTTTTTTGGAAAATGATGACGACGACGACGACGATGATAATATGTGGGAGTCTGTGTATACATATAAACTAAAGACGCACCAAATATTTAGGGCCCTTTTTCACTTTTATAGGGCCCTTTTTCATGTTTCGTTTTTTATGCGTTACATGAAATAAACTTGTTAGAAAAAATATTTGGCCCGGCCAAATATCCGGTCAAAATTGAGGTTTATTCGTCTTCGACCATTTTTAAAGACCAGGTGATTAGCCGAATGTCACAACTTCGTTTAAGTTAACATTTTTCATTCCCCGACGCCAAAGGATGCAAAGCTTGCTGGTGTGCTAATCCGCGGGCTTTCAGTATCACTTCATCTCTCCATCCTTTTGCTTCTTCGTTCGTCTGTTCATTGATCTATCCACATATTTAATTGTCGGTTATTATTAGCGGAAAATATATTTTGTTTAAATAATGTGAAATTGAACACAAGATTGAATGTCATTTCGATGAAATTTGGAATGAATTATTATTTTGAAAGCTTGTTTTTAACTTTAAAAAATAAAATTTGGCTTATAAATGTTTGGTATTGGATTGACTGTTCGGTGCATCTCTAAACATATAGAAACAAATATTCTTAAATTTTTGTTAACGAATTATTTAAGATAATGAACGTTCGATTTGTTGATTTCATGATTGGATGGTTGATGGGTTAAAAGTCGACGATAGAAGATTTGATTGAAATTGAAAATGAAACAGGTAAAAATACGAAAATGCACACCACGTTTTCTAAAACAATATAAATTTATCTTCAGAGCATTTAAATAACATTCAACAAATGACAAACAACCAGTAAAAATTGTTTCTGTGCTTTTTATGTTGAAAAATGTTCTCATATATTTCTACAGACTACCATGTCAATGCTGCGACAGAATATGTACATGTACAATTTATATTGACCTTTGTGATTTTTTTATCTTATGTTGTTAGCGTCAACAAGATTTTGATGCAGCTGCTGTTGTTGTTGCCGTTGTTGCTGATATTGTTGTTAATATGTATAACATTTTATGTTGGTTGTTTTTGTTGTTGTTGTTGTTAATGTTGTTTACTTTGTTTAAATTGTTGTTGTTGGTATTATTGCAATTATTATGCTGTTGATCCTATTTGTTGATCCTACCGCGATAAAATTGTTTACCTTGACATTAATGTTGCTGTCAGAATTGTTGAAACTGACGAGGATGTTGAAATTGTTGAAATTGTCGTTGGGATGCAGTCAGTTAACGTTGCTGTTTATCAACTGTTGCAACTCTTCTGCCGATCTGACATGAAAATTAAATTTTCAGTCTTTATGCAACTGAATTTATGAATAATTAATTACAAATTTAATATAATTAAATTCTCGACGTTTATTAATTTAAATATATTCTAAAAAAATATTTTATGAAGCTCATCGATAAATAATTTGTAACATAAAAAAATTAAATGCTAAAAAATAAAATAAATTAAATTGATAATTTTCTTAAGAAACATGAAAGACTTCTATTTTTATATAATGTAAATGAAACAGTGGTTGAATATGTAATAAAGACGTTTGGAGCAATTTCACAAGTCTCAATATTCAGAGTTTGCAAAAATGTTTTTTTTCATTACTCCTTCTTCTATTGAAGTTTAATTTACATTCTATTTTAATTGCAAAATATGTTTGCCATTTGTTTTATTCTCTCTTAACTTTCTTTCTTTACTCAATAATTAATTCATTTATTCAATCAGTTATTCGTTCATTCAATTAGTATTTATTTATTAATTGTTCGATTTAGTTTATTTTAGCAAGTTTATTTTCCCCATCTATGGCTTTCTGAAGAGACCGAACAACAATTTGTATACATATTTTCAACTTCATTTCAAACGTGAATCTCTTTCAGAGAGCCCTATTTTTTCAATTTCGTATTGGAAGTTTGAAATCATTATATTGGAAGAAGAGCCGACAAATGAACATGGAGCGAGGAGAAAGCACTGGAGAACCACCTGTGAAGAAATGCCGCGGATTCCCTGTAGCCCACAATCAGCTGTTTGATGGTCGTCACTTCATCCGCGGTCAGTCTGATCCGGATAGGGGTGGAGTAGAGAGGGAGATGGGGAGGAGGTGGATGGTGGGGATGAGAAGGAAGAGGAGTGGGAGGTAGATTGGACATCACGTGACTGTTGTGGGAATCGAATGCGTTGTGGGATGACGTCAGGGAGATGGCCGTGTTGCTTGACCGTTGTTTCTGCGATTTCATGCTCAGGTCTGTTGGAACTGGCAGAAAATCAAAGAATAAAATTTTTATTTGAGTTTTATATTTTGCCACTAATGTTCAATGATAAACATTTAACAATTAAACAAACAAATTAGAATTATATAATATACTATACATGTCTACATATGTATTTAAATTCATCACAACTTCTGCGAAAACATTTAACAGGCGTCAATGATGGATATGATTTTGTAAAAATACTGAAGTCCGTTCTCTTTGAATTTTCATCATCATAGGAAAGGAGGAAGATCTATTCGTTTTTATAGATTTTAATATGGGTAAGTTAATTTGAAAATGTGCCAACCAATTTGAAATTGATCGTGAGAGACTGAGTTGTTGTAGTTACTGATGATGAATGCTCCAATGGTGTTGTTGTTGTTGTTGCTGTTAGTGTTGTTGTTGTTGTTGTCGGAGCTGTTGAGAGTGTTGTTGCTACTGAGACAATTCACATCCATTATTTTATTGCTGGCGTTGAAAGAGTTAAAATGTTGCTGAAGATGATGATGGGGAGGATGATGAGATGCAGGAGGAGGAGGTAGCATTGGTTGTGATGACTGACATTTGGAGGCGCTCATGACGCCACTGCTGAACGTCGGCGGCATCGGTGGCAACGTTGAAGAGACGGAATTGTTAGTTAGATCCCAAAAATTGTTGCATGATGATAATGATGATAGAGCTGGCGTTGATGGCAGCTGCTGCTTGTGGCCAGGATTGTTGAGGCCACTGCTGCAAACGCTTCCATATACAACTGTCATTTTCGGTGACTGAGTTGTTAACAGTGATGAAACTGAGGATGATGATATTGAAAAGGATGATGATGATGTTGAATGATATGCCATGATGATATTGTTGCAATTGTAAGCAGCCTGACCGCTTGCGGAAATGACGTCATACGGTTGTTTAATTTTGATCGGCTTGTGTGCGGTCGGCGGTTGAACCTGGCTGGTGTTAGTCATCGCGAAATTGAGAACCATGTTCTCGTTCTTAATACTGGTGGTTGTTATTGGTGAAATGTTGGTTGGTTCGGAAAACTGGGTTTGAGATTTGGTAAATGTGTTGGATTCGTTTTCAGGTGAGATTTCCATTGGACCGCCATTGAAATTAATGTTGACGTTGTTGATATTGCTGTTGTTGCTGTTGTTGACATTGAAGTTAACAGAGTTGTTGAACATTTTGTTGAAATTGTTGTCACATAGAAAATGGTTGCCGACTTCGCAGGTGGAAAAACTTTTGAACGTTTCTATGATTTACAAATAGCAAATGTATTTTAAACAAATAATAATTTTGTTGATTTTTCAAAAACAAAAAAATTCATTGGAGATAATTTTCAACGTTGATTGTTTACTTTCACTTTCGACTGGCTCTTTCGAAGCTGACTGGCCACTACCTGGCGGAGCACACATGTCCACTGCAGTGCAGCTATTGAAGAAGAAGCCACAAGTGGACGTGGTGGCCATGTGAGCTTTTGGTGGTGCGTCGTCATGAGTGGCCAGTGGTTGGGCTGCTGGGTTGTTGTTGGTGGATAGGTTGAAGGTCTGCATGTTCACGTTCTGGTAAGCCATTTTTATCTGTTCGGCCTGAAATGTTTTCACAATTCAAGTTCCTTTTGATTTGTTAGATTTATTATGTGTTTGACATACATTTTGCACTTCATTTTCAAATATAAATCTGTTTTAAAAAATCATAATTTGCATGTCCCCAACGCTGAACAACTTATTTATTTATAGTATTTATATTTTAACGTGCATCTCATGTCACTTATAAAAATATCTAACGCCTCTAAGATTCTTATAAAGAGCTGCTATGCAAATTCTATTTGGGCGTGTGCTCAGCCCATACATCACAAATGATCATTTTGGAGTTTAGTTCGTAAAGACAAAATATTGTCTTTGCACATTTCTAGAGATAAATAAATGAGAAATGTTAATCTTTTAGCTGTTTGAACTATCTCATCTTACAAAAAATGCTAAAATAATAGTGAAAAAGTAATGATCTTGCAGTCAGTGGCTCCAATCCCATGCGCATCCTCTTGGCGTTGTGGCTCTCGTTGTCGCAGGCCAGAGCGAGGATGGCTTCAGCAGCGGGTGATGTCAGATGAGGCAGAGATGATGACGACGACGAAGAGGATGATGTTGAAGGCGTAAGAGAAGTTGGTGATGTTGAAAGCTTGCCCTGGCGTGTGATTGTCACAATTAACTCAATGATTTTTTGGTCTAACTTTTACAAATAATCATTTAAATTAAATGACCTGTTAATGATCAACAAAATTATGCTAACGTGGCAGCAACAAAAACAATAACAACAAAACGAACGTCCAACAACATCTTACATTACTATCATCAACAGATTTTGATTTTTTCATTCTCCTGCAAGATTTCAAATACGTTCTGATTCTTTTTCTCGATCTACTTTTGAATTCAGGAAACTGCCGGTCGCAGGCTTCGATGATCGCCTGGATCTTCTCCTTCGGTTGCTTCGAGATTGGAGCCACTCTGTCCAGGTTTTCATCGACGAACAACCTCACAAACATCTGCCAAATTCCATGTCGTGATTTCAAACTTTTTACGATAATTTTCAATGTCATGGTCATTCAATTTGTCACTAGTGAAAGCTGCTTATTAGTTTTTTTGTTTTGTTTGCAAAGTATTTCCAATTTTTAAAATTATGCAGTCATTTAAAATAGTGTTTGAGCTAACCAATAAAAAATAAAGTTACTGTAAAAAATGAAAATATAACTTTAGATGAAAATATTTAAAAAATTTTTTTAAAAACGATGCTTACATTGAAAGCTTTCAATCTGTCCGGGTCATAATTGATACCTCGATCCTGTTCGTCATCGTTATCCTCATCATCGTCGTTTATAGAGTTGGCAGTTGACGTGGATGTGTCCATGGGCGAGGACGACGATGGCGACGATGTCGACGGCGACAGTTGCGTCGCTGGCAGTGGGGTCACAGAGACGTTGAGGGCAGTTGGAGTGGTGGGTGGTGGAGCGGCGGATGTCGTGGCGGGGAGTGCCGACAGATGTGCTGCCAACTTGTGTTGCTGTAAAAACATTTGCAGTTGTTGATGTTGCAACTGATGTTGTGGTTGTTGCTGGTTCGAATCGCTTGTAACGACCAAGATTTTGTCATCCTAGGTGCGCAACATTTACAAAATTTTGTGTATGTTGATTAATCGGAGTCATTCATTTTTCTAATTTTAATAAATATTACTTTATAAATTTTATAATAAAATTTTTTGGTTTTTTTTAAATGAAATTGATAATTGATAAAAAGTTAAAAATGCTAGAAAACTTTTTAATATAAGAATTATTTATTAAAAAAAATGTTTTATAATCGTTGACTATCCACCCTTGCATGCATGTGAATAGTTTTCAATCGTACCGTAAGTTAAAAAATTATTACCGTTGGATATCGCGTAGGTGCAGTGCGTTTGCGTTTTTGAGGTTGTTTGGGCGTAGATTGTTGTTGCATTTGCTGTTGCGTTTGTTGTTGTTGTTGCTGTTGAGTTTGTAAATGTTGAAGCTGTTGTTGTTGCTGATTCATTTGCTGTTGCAGAAACTGTTTTTGTTGCGCAAGAAGTTGTTGTTTCTGATGTTGACTGATTAAGTTGCTTATTTGTTGTTGTTGCTGCTGCTGCTGTTGTGGCAAGTTTTGATCAACAGAATTATTTGTCTTAGCCTCATTCGACTTGGGCAAAGACAAATTGATTGCAGTTGGCATTTTCGTGCAGTCGACGATATGCATGGCTGTTGATAGCGACAGCGAGGTAGGCAGTGAAGCAGGGAGAAGTGATGGTGACGACGACGATGAAGAAGAGAACATCAGTGATGAAGATGATGGTGGCGTGGAAGACAACAGTAGTGAAGTCAGCAACAGGTTCGACTGTGCATTAGAAAAAGTCTTTTGGACATTGAAATTAATGTTTGCGTTGGCAATGCTGTTGATACTGTTGATGTTGTTGTTGCTGCAAATGTTGTTGATGTTTGTGTTGATGTTGCTAGTTTTGATTTTAATGTTGCCTTTAGTTGTTGAGTTAATAATATCATTTTTAGCGTTATTTAGAATGATGTTTTTGTTGTTGTCGTTGAATGCGTCTACAACATTCAAAATCGTTACGCTAGACGAAACAGGAGGAACAGTTGTGCAACCGCTGCTGCTGCTGTTGTTGACGTTTGTAGTTGCGTCGTTCACAATAGTTTTATGCACTTCGTTCTTGCAGCTGTTGGTTGAGATAGCGATGCAGTTGATGTTGTGTTCCTGCCTGTCGCTGCAGAGGACATTAATGTCATTGTTCCCTGTGATCTCTGAGCTGTCGCTGCTATTCCCGTTGTTCTTGTTAATGTTGGTGTTGTTGTTATTAATGTGATCCGATTTATCGTTGTTAGTTGTAGCACTGAAGTTGGAAGTGTTGTTGTTGTTGAGAGACTCGTAATTGTTAGCAATGCTGGATAGCAGAACAGCAGATGATGATGAAGAAAATGATGACGCCAGAGATATGAGAAGGGAGGTTGAGGAAAAGTTAGCGTGTGACTTCCTATCTACTGATAACAGTGGTGACGTTGATGATGACGTTGCTGATGGTGGTGGCGTGTAAGTTGACAAGGATGACGACGCCAAAGAAAGCAGCAAATTTAGTGAGGATGACGTCGATGTTGCTGATGTTAACTGTGCTGCTGAGATTGTCGCCACTGTGGTTGAGGTTGAGGTTTTCAAGTTCAATGATGCTAATGATGATGGTGGTGATGTCGACATCAGGCAAGATGGAATAACGGCTAATGATAATAATGAAGAAGAAGAAGACAGTAGTGACGAAGCGGAAGAGGAGGATGTTGTCGAGACTGACACAACTAACGATGAAGCCAGTGATGCTGCTGCTTGGGATGATGACTCAGGTTGAGATGAAACGTTAGTCGATGTTGATGCTACAGGCAATGCCAATGATGATGATGGTAGAGATGATGCCAACGATGATGATGGTGTTGAAGGTGATGATGATTTTGACATTTTTCGATGTGAGGATGTCGGTGGTTTCTTATTCATTCTTCATTTGCTTGCAGCAGGTTGTTAAATTTTGAAAAAGCGTTTGAATGTTCGTGCGTGTTTTTAAATTATTTCAATTTGATATTTTATTTATTGAAAATCTATCAATAATAACGCTAGGAAGTTCATCTAGATCCAAAATTGGCCCATGTTAAATTTCTCCAACGACAAATTTCCTGTTATGTCAAGTAAATATTATTTCATCAGTGCCTGTTTTACAATTTTCCATCAAAATATCCACACTTGGGATCGTCAAAATTTCTAATGATAATAATTTTTATTATCATTATAATATTCACCATTATTATATAAATTATGTTAATTACATTACTTACAAAATTTAGAGCAGCAACATTACTGTTGCCCTCCTATATTTGGTGCACACCACTGTTACGCTCATCTCGTCGCCATTTTGTATATTCAATATAAAATTGAAACGGGTCGGATATTTTATTTTTACTTTTTAATTAGTGGTTTGTTATTTTATAATCGTTTAACATTTGTAAGTAATAATAGTATAACCTTTTATGTTAGGCAGTATTGGTGATTTGTTATCATCTAATTAATTAATTTGTGGTGAAAAAATTTTTTACTTTTTTAATATTTTAAATAATAAATATTAATTTGAAATTTGAAGAATTTAAAAGTATTCTAAAAAAACAAAGTATACATTGCCCACTTTCTTTCAATTGATATCACCTCTGCTCTGGCTGGATGTCTTCATCTTCCATGTCTTGGTTACTGCTACATTGTAAGCTACTTATCTTTTTTTGGCTTACGTTCCTAACTTGTAGCAACTTTTTTTTAAAAGTTTTCAGATCATAAGTTGTTCTGAATGTAAGCACTTTTCCTTCTAATCAAGTCTCCATTCAATTACATGGCTTCTATGTGCCGACCTTTAATGTACACATGTGTTATTTTCAAATATATGCTACTTGACGTAACTCAGCTACTTTATTTTTCTCCATTTAATTTAAACATCTTCATTCGTACACTGGTCAACGATGCACATCACCATTCATTCAATAACGCCAAACGTCTACAACTTATCCTCGTCAATTGAAGTTTCAACCCCAGAAGCTCCTGCATGGAATGGCTGGACTGTCAGAGTTTGTCATCAACCTTCTTTCAAAAATTTCTTGAAAATTTTTGGATTGTGCCGTACAAGCTTCGAAGCAGATGCTGATAGGCAACTATTCAAGTCTTCCCAAACCTTTACTTACCGACGCATCTGCGCATTTAAAAATGTGCACCCACACGTGCGTATGTTAATATAATATGTACGCATATAATCTGTACATGCAAGCACGTACTCACCTCACCCATATAGGTTAGCATGCGCAGACGAGCTCATTTTCATACTGAAAAAATAATTGTTCGTAGAAGAATGTTTGAAAATGCAACCACATCCAATAATTTTGTTTTTCATTTTTATCCTCCACACGTTATGCTTTTGAAATTCATCTTCGTTAAAAAAAAACCTGCAGTGCTGTCATCTGCCGTTCATTCACTATACATTTACTATATATAGCCACGCATTTACCATACTATTGCCACACTGTACCACACATCTACCACACATCTACCATACACTACCATATATATCCCGTAGTATGGGACTCAACTGGCTCGCACTTATAATCGGCGAATGATATGAACTTCCTTTTTGTACCAGCTACAGATCGGCAGATTGGATCACAAAACATTTGTTGTCACTGGTCTTGTTGGTTGGAATGGTCTGCCAATGTGGCTAAAAGGATTTCAACTTACAATGTTACGTTAGATAGGTATTTGTTTGATTAATGTTTAATAATAAATACTCATTCATCTTTGCAAAATTAGCGTGTGCGTGTGTGTGTGTGTGTGTGTGTGTGTGTGTGTGTGTGTGTGTGTGTGTGTGTGTAGAAACACAGTACACATATATACTTGAGCATTTGGCCACATACACAACATATCACTTCGAATACCGAAGACGGTATAGGAATACTGAAAAAGGCTTTTTGTTCTGTCATGCTTAAATGTTCCAACAGGCTTAAAATAAATAAAAATTTTGGTTTATATATATATATATATATATATATATATATATATATATATATATATATATATAACGAAAAAAGAGGAAGAGAGAAAGAGAGAAAAACTAGTTAGAAAAAGAGGTGCTGATATCGTCTTAAAATGGCCGACATATTTGTTTCGAACAAATTATTTATTATTATTTCGTAATAATATTTACTGGATGGGACACAATCGGATTGATATTTTTATTTGCTTTGATTAACTTTAAGATTAAAAAACTTTGCAACAGATTTAATCTATGTATTTGTTTATCTACCTTTCTCTCTCATTTTCTTTCCCTTTTTATATGTGTGTGTAATTGTGTTTATATATATATATATATATACCTATATCATTTCAAGTTTCAGGTGAATTAAAATGATCCCATACTCACAGGTGTCTAATCAGTTTGTTTCGATTTAAAACTTTGAACGTAAAATAAATAAATACGAACTAACAAACACTGAATATCAAGATACGTAACGCAATAACAATCAATCGGGAAATGTGCTTTTGTTGCATACAAAATAATTATTTTAATTAAACAAAATATTTCTCAAACATTTCCTCTCTCCCATATTTTTTCATCATCTCTCCTCCATCCTCCCCTCACCTCCTGCATCACCATTTCATCCAGGCTGCAACATATCGATCGATCCGCATGGGCTCAAAGGCATACATCATCCTATACACTCGTATAAATATATATATAGATGTATATATATATATATATATATATAAATACATATATAAATATATAAATAAATATATATATGTATACATACATAAAAAAAGAGCTAAAAACATACATATATGTAAAGGGATATATATATATATATATATATAAATATAATCTCAATATATATATATCAAATTCTTATAACTTTATATATATGTATACATATTTAGTATATATATATATATAAATATATATATATATATGTAAAGGTATAAATAAATATATTATATGTGTGTAACTAAACGCCATTGTTATTACGTGCCTTTTTTTCTCACGTATATAGAAACTGAAGAAGTATATACTTTGAAAAAAAATCTTTGATTTAATTTAATTTAAACATTCAATTAACACACACATACACTACTATTTCATCGAAATAACGTAGTATCTCTGTATATATATATATATATATATATATATATATATATATAATTAGTGTAAAAAGAAATCCAACAAAATTTAAAACATACAGGTTCGAAAATATTAGATTAATTAATTAATCGCAAATGACCTAATGAATGAAATAGTAGAATTTAGTTACTTTTTAATTCGTAATATTTTTTAAATTCATTAATTTAAATTAATATATATCGCAGTTCTATTCCTAGATATTAATGTCTTATTAATCGATTACTCTCAAAGATTATATTAAGTTGAAATGGAATAATGAGTTTTCGAGCAAGCAGACAATCTCAAACGTACCTACGTCATTCAAAAACATAATAACGCCTTTTAAATGCAGTCTTTTTCAACATTTTTCCATGGGCATACACACGCACGCACGCACACATAAAAACACGCACACACTTTTATATACACATATATGTATGTATGTGTATGTGTTTGTGCGTGTAGTCATTTTTTATATGCAATTAAGGTTTGTGCTGCATTAATTCTGGTATCAAATAATCAGAATGTTTTAGCTTGTGTTAATATCGTGAAACATCCTTAATGTAAAATTTTATACAAAACATTACAAAGCCATTTAATTAAAAACAAGTTTATTATCTTGAAAAATAATTTTTTTCTTACTTGTTTGCCGTTGCATTCAATCACTCTTCTTTCATTCACAGACTTCTCCAGAACATGATCCATTTCAAAATTTCTCCAAAATTACATAAAACACAAATACACAAAACATGAAACGCTAATGTAACAACGACGACGAACGTTACTCGAATCTGTTCATATGTAGGTGAACGATGGAAGAAGCAAGTGAAGGAGTAGCCGGCGATGTCGTGCAAGATGCGTGATGATTATCGCAGCACAGGATTTTATAATCGGCAAGTCGGAGTGGAACTGCACGAGTCAGTGTGTGTTTGTTGCCGAGGCAGAAAGAGAGATTGAGAGCAGAGGAGAGAGGTATGTGATATTGCACATGGAGAGATGTTGAATGGAGCCAGGAGAGTGAAATCATCGTGCAGAATCTGCGGATGGGTACGTAACCGGTTGGATGAGGAGACTGCAACTAGGATGTCTGGTGTGGTCGTGTTCATGCATGATAATATTATACGATTAAAAAACAAGACAACGTTTTAACATTTGGCTGATGAATGCTGAATTATTAGTCAGCAAATAATATTTCCAACACTAAAAATTGTTTTATTAATTTATTTATTCCATGTTATTGTATAATTTATATTTATTACAGAATTCTTTAAAAACAATTGCACAAAGGAGCGTCAGTGCGTTTCAAAAGCACGTCATGTAACAGTGTCTACATATTCAAATCAACAGAAACAATATATGTAAACAAATATTTATTATAATTTTTGTGATAAATTTCAAAAAATCATCAACACCATCAAGTGAGATTATAAAACTTCCAGGTCAAAGAAATGCCTGGCTGTAGTTATAATCGCTTCTCATTTTTTCTCATAGGAATTGTTGAAGTGACGAAAATGTTTGAAACACGTATAAAAATTATTTGGAAAACAAAGAATTTTTCAAAATCTTCTACAGAAAATTTTCAATGTACAATAAAAATAACTCTAAACTCTTCCTTCAAATAATTTTACGCGTTTTTTATTGATATTCATATTGAAAACTTCTTTTAGTTAATTTAAATTAGAAGCAGTTGAAAAACAATAAAATATATTTACACATTCTATTTTTATTCTAAACTTTACATTTAAACTTTATAATTAATAAATTTGAATGTAAATTTATTTGACTATAAACATATTTTACGATTATTATAACCATGAACCTTTTTTGTTAAACAATCTTATTGCAGCACATTGTTTGGAATTTGGCATCAAATGCTTCTGGTTGCCGCCTGCCGTTCGCCAGTCCCACAAACCAATGACTCTCACTCCAGTGCATTCACTCTACTTCAAAATACATTTCTGAATGTTAGCAATCAAAAGTCCTATTCCAGTTTGAGCGATACAGTCGTGTTGACGTGGCCGTTTAATAAATCCCACACTACACCGCACTAATGTGCCAGTAATTTTAATATTTTTCTTAATTTTTATTTTATTTATTTTTTTCATAATTATGTAGTTATTATTATTACATCTTTAAAATCAATCACAGTCGAAAAGGAAGAATCCGATCAAAATATATCAAAACATCAATCCAGAAAAATAAATGATAATCTTTGACTTAAGTATATTTTAAGAGGTAAGGTTGTAACAGAGTATTCCAGTCTTTTTAAGTTGACGGGTAACAGATTCAATAACCACACCATAGACCAGAAGCACCAGAAGTTGACGTCAGCACGAAGAGAGAAAACCCGCCTGCCGTTCGCCAGTCCCACAAACCAATGACTCTCACTCCAGTGCATTCACTCTACTTCAAAAACGTTTTGACTATTCAAGTTCCTGGTATGTCGCTTGATTTTTCACCATGGAAGCTACCCACAGACGGCATTCGACACAAAATTGAAAAGATTAAGGATAGAGTGTTCTGATTCTCTCTTACCGACACACGAGCCTCCACCATGGTATTTAGACACTGTAGATTCTCGATGCACCTTGAGAGAAATGCAAAACTGCACAAATCCTCTCGAAGATATTAGATTTTCCACTATGGTATTCAGCCAGAGCAGATTCTCAACACATCCCGAGCGAACCGTACAGATGTAAAAAAAAAACCCCATCAATGGCGTTTGAGCCTCCACCATGGTATTTAGCCATGGTGGAGTATTTAGATTCTCGACACACCTCGAGAGAATTTTTAGCCTCAATCAAGAGAAATGATTAAACCCCCTATAGTATCCGAGTCTCCACCGAAGTGGCTATCCACAGCAGATTCTCGACATACTTTCGGGGAAATGTAAATCTTCTCTTTGTCATATCTGAGTCATCAATACGAGGCATGTCCACAGTAAAAAACCTGACACGCCACACAGGATGATTAATATTTTCCTATTTATGTTGCTGAAATGCACAAAGAGAAAGCCACAGATCAGTAAGATCAGCAAACCAGTCCGTGTTCAACCCCTCAAGACAGCGCCATTCTCAGCAACTCTAGCCACAACACAATTATCGAATCCAGATTCCCGTCAGTTGTAGAATACAAGTAATTTATATAATTAAGCTTCTTGGTGATAAAAGTTAATTGGCTCAATTCTCATTCTAGACCAATGCATCGCCACAGCCCAATCAAGAAACCCCCTTCGACTGCATGATTTCAAGAGCTGTTTCAGTGAAATTTATATCATATCATAGTAATTAATCATTTTTAGATATTCTATCATTGAAATGATATTTTTTTTTATTTTCAAAATGTCAACTAGATTATCAGGCAAGGATAAGAGAGTTCTTATTTCTTTTGTTTGATTGCAAATAAATATATGTTTAATAGTTAATTTATTATTACAGAAGAAATTTTTGAAGAAATTATTGATAGAAGATAAAGAAGAGACAGAAGACTACGATCTTTCTGTAGATTGTTTCGTAGTAGACATGTCGAAAAGAGGTCTATATTTCCAACTTTAAAAAAGTGAATATCAATGGTGTTAGAAACATTAGAAAGATCATTTTTAATTCAGTATTTTCTGATTTATTAAACTTTAGAACCATCCAGAAAAGAAAAAAAATCAAAAAAGAAACTCACACCGAAACAAACTTCTCAACGAACAATTCTATTAGCATAAAGCGAGCTAACCAATAATTAGTATTCATCAATACATAATTATGTTTAATTACGTTTAACACTGTATCTTTGTTTATTTAGTGTCTTTACTTAATGTAAACATGTTGCTAAGTTCAAAATTTGTTCTTACATTTTAAGCCGAAAGTTGCATTATTACAGGTTTTGTGGGAAATTTTTACAACTTACCCAAGAAGTTTTACAACATCTGAAAAATTTATGTAAAACAATCGGCTTTTAGTAAATTTCGAACGTTTGTTGACTTCTCACTTTTCAGGTCTACTCTACCCTAGATAAGAACATTACAATTACACATTATTTAATTTTAATTAATTAATAGTTTAATACTTATTAGAGATCATTAGTAGGACATTAGGGATTAGAATATTGGATTTTAGGATAGTAGATCATACGCTTTTAAATTTTTTTTGTATATAAAAATTTTTTTTATAAAGCATAATTTGCTGATTAAAATAATACCAAATTTATTATTGATTTTTTTAATCAACGTTGTGCGACCTACTACATTAGATATTTTCTTTCTTTTAAGAGTCTTAATTATAATTAATAAATTAATCATAGGATAAATTGGATAAATTTTGTATGAGTATAAATATAAATTAAAATTTAAAACTAGCTAGTGGATAGAGACAAAATAGATAGTCTAATAAACTCAAAATGTCATCAAACAACGGTGAAGAAATTGTTAAAACTAACACAACACAGACTTCTTATGGTGTCAATGAAAAGAACAACTGTAGAAAACGGCCGCTTGCTGATAACGATTACGATGACGACTGTGATGATGATATGAGGGACACATCTCCTAATCAAACCTGTCACAAGGAAAACTCTCCAAAAAGATATTGTCCTGATTTTCAAGATGAAACTTGTGTAGATAAGGAAGACATGATAACAAATGTAGATCTTGTGGCACCACCAGTCAACGAAAAATTTGAAGAAGTTTCAGATGTTGATAAAGTTGCGAATGCAGTAGTCGAGGTGGTCAGTCGGTTAGCCGATGAGGACAGTGGAAGTTCTGAGGAGGAGTCAGGTAGCAGTAATGATGATTCGGACGATGATTCAGATGATGATTCGGACGATGATTCGGATGATGATTCGGACGATGATGATAGCTCTGTGGATGGCAGAACAAAAATTATTTATGATGTCAACAAACAAAAGCAATTAGATTATGTTGATTTGAATACAAGCCAAACTTCGACCAACAATAACAAAAGCACAAATTTATTGCAAGTGCAAAAGGATGATAGCAATCACAATTTGCTTAAAAGCACCACCGCTGAACCAACTGCAAATGAGATGAACACAACAAACTACAAACTCCACAAAAACAAAGATCTTGAAACTGAACAAGATAAACTTGAAGAAGAAAGACTTAAAATGCAGTAAGTTTGTTTCGTTTACTTAATTTTTGAATATGCATCTAAACCACTTGTTGCATTCTTGGGGAATTTTTTCTTATCTAAAATCGGCAGTACGACTGAGAAACTGTGAGTTGTTCTGTTCAGAGTAATCTAGGGGCGTGATTATGATGAGGATGATTAAGTAGATGGTGATGATATTAATTTCAGATATTTCAGTTATATTTAATTTCAGTTTATTTTGGATCCATTTTTCTGGAACTTTCATGTTAAATTAAACTAAGTTACCAGAAAAAACTTGAACTATAAAGATGTTAATGATTTAAAAAAAAAATATTAATTTTTAAATTATTTTTTTTTTGTAAAAATAATACAACAAACATGTTTTCAAATTTCTGGGGGTATAGTTGTAATATATAAATATTTAAATAATCTAAGTGATTGGAAAATACCTTATTTAAATATCCCACACATCATAAAGATATAAAATATTTTACTCATTATATTAATATCATGTTTCATGCATCACAATGACATGAAATGTTTCTCCATGAAGAGTTTTAGTTTCCAACTTCTCTGAGGACCAGCTGAACCGCTACGAGATGTACCGCAGGGCAACATTTCCGAAGGCTTCTATCAGGAGGGTTTTTAGATTTTTTCATTTCAATTTTTTGAAATTTTTACTTGATATATTTTTTTAAGATTTGGATTTTTATTTTTTGTTTTTAAGAACATCTTTTTTTTAAATGAATTAAAGTTTGAGCTCATGAAAAATTATTTCATCAAAGTGACAATTAATCTATAAAAATTTTCCCACATAGTTTATTTATGTGTATTATTATTATTATTTGAAAATTTGTGTAGCGCTAATTACAAATAAAATGTTTCTCAAAAGCACTGTCTAAAAAAAAAAAAAAAAAAAACATTTGAATTGCTACGATAAACCAAATCTTAAAATATTATAATGAAAACAAAAATGATTTCAATAATTTCTTGAACAATTTTTCTGTCAGTTCGGGCTGTCTTAAATGACTTGGTAGACTATTCCAAACGGCTGGTCCACATACTGAAAAACTTCTCTCAGCCATTTTCAAGTTGGTTGCAGTAATCCAGCCTAGAATGAATAAACGAATGCACTAAACTTTGAATAACATCTTTGGTTAAGCTTTTGCAGATTATTTTAAATTTTCGCAGTTGTAGGGTTGCAGTACCAGATAAAAACTTGATATGTTCAGTCATTGCCAGTCTAGAATCAAAAATGACACCCAAGTTTGTAGCTTTGGGAATGAAGTTTATATTTGAGCCCTCAATGATAACTGAATTAATTTTAATTCTAGACAGCTGTTGCCAAGTTCCAACCAGAAGAATTTGCGTCTTACTTTGATTGAGCTTAAGACGATTATTTGCCATCCATTTCTCGATCTCGACCAAACATTTAACAAAACGATCAACTGCAAGATGAAAGTTGCTATAGGATTCTGTGGCGAGTAGCTGAATATCATCTGCAAATGCATGAAACTCCAAACCATGTAATCCGATCGCCTCAATAATTTCAGAGGTGTAAAAATTAAACAAGATCGGTCCGAGAACCGAGCCCTGTGGAACACCAAATCTTATCGTTTGAACCGAAGAGGTCTTATTCTTGTAGATTACCTGTTGAGTTCTGTTTGTTAAGTACGACCGAAACCATTGTTCGACAGAGCCAGTTATTCCAAATCTATGATTAAGACGTTTCAGAAGAATGCAATGGTCAACACAGTCAAATGCCGAACTCATATCTAAGAATCCAAGAAGAAATGGTTTACTGTTGTTTATATTTTCATGCAACTTAGATAACACATGCAACAAAGCAGTTGCGGTAGAATGATGACTTCAATAGCCTGACTGATATACCGGTAACAAATTGTTTTTATCTAAGTGTTTCATAAGCTCCTTAGAAACTAATCTTTCAATTAATTTTGACAAGAACGACAGATTTGAAACTGGTCTATAATTATTAAGATCAGAATTGTCTAATTTTTCCTTTTTCAAAAGAGGAGAAATTGTAGCATGCTTTAACATAGCGGAAACTCACCAGTACGTAAACATAAATTTATAAGATCAGTCAAATATTTTGAAAACAATCCTACATATTTTTGAAAAAGTGTGAAGGAACACAATCCAGTGAACATGTTTTAGATGGAGAGTTCAAAACTGCTTCAACAATTTCGCTTTCGTCATAAACAGGAAAAACTGAAAACAAGTGCTGCAGCAGACACCAGATGAATGATTAAACTTCTCATCATACACCATCAATTCTCGTACATTTTTAATTTTGTCATAAAAGAATGTAGCAAAATCGTTCGCTTCAAAATTGGTAGATGAATTTGAAGTTTTTTCTTTGCACAACAGTTTATTTACCACAGTCCAAATTTTTTAGGATTTTTGTTATTTTCAAAAATGATTTTTTTCCAAAACAAATTTTTTTTCTGGGCGAATAAAATATTTTTTGATCGCAGAGCATTTTTCCACACCTTCCTATCGTGATGATTTAAAGTCTTTCTGTACTTTCATTCCATTTTTCTACAGTATGCCTTGGACTTTGAACAATCTCCATCAAACCACGGCGTCAACGAATCATCTCGACTTTCAACCACGTGTTCTGGAGCTATTATGTTCGCAATTCTCTTCAGTTCATTCACAAAAATCTCAACCAGCGTTTCTATATTATCATCTTGGCATGGCCCTCCAATCGGGGATTTCGAAATTAACAATGCGAGATTTTCTTCATTTATGCGTCGCCAGGATCGAACCATTTTTTTACTTCTCGTACCTATAACTCGATTGATTGACAAACAAACCTGGATTAATCCATGATCTGATAACACTCCACTGGGAAAAATCAAACTATTAAAGATAGGAAAAGAGCGAGAAGTAACGATCAAGTCCAAAACACCACCTAATTCATGCGTTGGTTCGTTAATCCTGTTAACCAACTGAAAACAATCGAAAACCTCATTCAGTGAGACTGTGTTTGGATCATCTTTTCTCTCCATATGAACATTAAAATCTCCCGCAACAACGATTTTATCACTTAACAGAGATAAAACTTCTAAAACATTCGCTAGCTCTGAAAAGAACGATGGTGAAGGAGGAACCGATCCAGGTCTATAAATTGATAACAAAATAAAATCAGATTTGTTTACTCTCAATTTAATTGCAACAGCTTCAAAAGTTATCACGGCGGGTAACTCAACAGGTTTATAAATGAACTCTTTCTTGAAATAAATTATAAATAAATTATCATTTTTGTCACTGACTATTTTAGAGACAGTTTTAACGTTGCATAACTTCTTCAGACAAATATCACAAAACCATTTAAAACTATCGAAACCACCTGTCACTTCAAAAGCTTCATCATCAAACCAACACATTTTATGTGAAAACTATTTTCGCACTGAAAACATTGAATGCATTGCAAATTTTCTTTTCCTGATTTCACACATTTTGTTTTCGTACATTTTGAAGCCATATTAATTTGATTGTTGTGTTGTTCGTTGTCCGGGTGAGTTCCGAAACGAAAAAAACAGCAAAAACAGCACTAAATTAAACTTTTAAACGGAGAAAAAATATATATAAATATTCGTCAAAATTTTCTCTATCAAATGAAATTAAATTTAAACTAAATACTCGATTTTAAACTATGAAATTAAGAAAAAATACGGAGCAAATCAAAATGTGACCCGCACGTGCTACCGATGAGCGATAATTGCGATAATATAAGAGCGTATATTGTACATATTGTAATTATATGTGTTTTATATTTTTTCCAATCACTTTTCAATGCAGTTGATGCAAACAGTTTCTGGAACGTCAGTTTCACAGAATGTTGTCATCGCCATGTCAGGGATTGCCAAAGTTTTTGCTGGTGAAATAGTGGAAACAGGTTTCTTATAATATAGATAACCTTCGAACGTTTTTGGCACAGCTTTAAAAAATTTTTTTTTGGTTTCACGAAAATATTTTTCACAAACTCTGCCACTCTGCTCTGTCACATTCAAATTTTTGTAAATTAATTTTTTTTTAATAAAAAATTTTGTTTTTGCTGTAGAATTTATTTTGGTACTAAATGTGCATTACATTAAAGAATGATATAGACAACATGATTTGTAGCTCTGGACATCCAGGAACAATGGCAGGGCTCAGGTCCCATCCAACCGAAGCACATCAGGGAAGCATTCCGAAGAGTCAAATCAAGGAGTTTCTTTCCTAACACCAGACAGCGAAAACGCTTATTTTGAATATTCAACTAATTTTGTAAATATTGTTTTCATTTTTTTTTCTGTTCGAAGTTTAATTATTCAAAATAATTTAAGGATGTTTTGCGTTTAATTTGCGATTAGTTAGTTATGTTAGCACGAGTTTTAATAAGCAACTTTTTTTTCAATGTTAAGTTATTTGTTGAAGGGTTTAATATTTCTAAATTAAATCTTGAAAATTTAACGTTGATGAGTTGCTTTTGTTTTAAATTTTCTCTTACTTTCGGAACCCGTTGACGTTTAATCGTTGCGTTGTTAAATATGTTGATCATGTCTTCGAGAGGTTATGGATTACTGATAAAAACATTCCTTGCTTCGTCTTTACAAAGCTTTCCTACATGACAAAATTATTATTACCATCAAATTCGCGTGGTTGCATGCCTCAGAGACATTTCATGAGAAGCGGCTGTCTCTTGCATTTGAAGCCAATCACTGCGACAGCATGGCCAGGCGCCTTAATTATTATACCATCTCGCCGCCCAATATGTCTTGGCGTGGAGTCACCGCCTAATATACAGTCAACATATCATAACGTGTATGATTGTAATTATTTAACGTTGATGTGTTGATTGTAATTATTTTTTATTTAACTGTTAATTTCAGATTTTGAACTCAAGAATAATGTTCAAGCCGCAAAAAACGCAACCATACATAAATATTTTATTTGCACTGACATTCGTCATGACATTTATGATAGCTCAGTATGGTACATTTTTCGACATGGCAACATGATTCTCTGTAGTGAAGAGTTCAGAAAGATGGAAGGTGGAAATCTCTGGGTCTGCCCTGACGGATCAATCGTAACGTAATATTTGGTCGGATGCTTGGTCCTATTTTGTTCTGATGTTCATTATGTATAATCTACTAAAGCTGAAGTGCTGTGAATAAATTGTTTCGGGGTTGACTACTTATTCAATTTTTGACGTTTATGAATGCCGAACAATTTTATCGACAAAACGCTGGTGCATTTAGTCTATTGCAAACAAATTTTATAAAAAGCTGCCAAAACATTTTTCAAGTTTTTATATTTTGATTCAATTCTCGTAACGTATGAAGACTGCTTGAACATAAGGAAATTGATTTTATTTACGAGATAATGTAATTTATTCGGCGAATCTTTTTACCTCACGGTTTGCACCAGCAACGTTCTTGATTCTCTCAATCCCTCAGTGAATCACTCGAATCGGAAGACTTACATTCATTCCGCGATCGTGCTCCTGAATGATGAAATGTTTTAATTCAATACACATACATTTTTATCTCTTATATATTTCTTAGGAGCTTTTATGTTTTTGAACCGAAGATAGCAAGACACATGTTGAAATTAATATTTCTTAGTTATTTTTATCACTAATATTATCATCCGAGTTAGCGGTATCGCCGGTGAGTTTTATTTAATTTATTTTTTATTTACTTTATTTATTTATTATTTATCTGTGTTTTGTGTTTTTTTTATAGCTATCTGACGTCATTATTAACTTTGCTATATCAAAACGTTTGTAAATAAATGTATTTATTATCGATCGTTTTTAACAGAACTGAACGGCGTTCAATGGCAAGAACATATATAGAATATTTCACACACACATATATATATATATATATATTTATACATATGCCATTAATGTTAAAAATCATGTTCAGCATTAGTTAGCTTATCTTGTTTATTATTTCGAATTTTAAATTTCAGTCGATGATGTTGTTTCCTGTCCGTGGTTTTTAAATAAATATTGGATTAAGACTTCAGAAATGCAATTATTGATAAAAATCACAGCATGTTCAGCGTTTGTTAGCAATAATTGTATTTCTGACACTCTTTAACCAACATTTATTAAAAGCCTTAGTTAGCTTCCTGTTTAATTTTTCAATTTTTCTAACTTAAGTACTTAAATCATTGTCAAGTTTCTTGAGTTCAAAAACCAAAATTTTTATTTATTTTAAACATGATAGAACATTTAAACATGATAGAACAGACAAACGTTTGTCTGTATTCCTATACCATCTTCGGTTTTCGAATTGATATGTTGTTTATGTAAATAACATATCAATTCGAGAGTATATAATCAATATATACGTAAATTATGAAATAAATTGTAAAATAATATTTTGAATTATGATATAATGGTCAGATTGTGTAGTGGGTTAAAGCAGGGGTGGGCAAACTACGGCCCGCCAAGACATTTTATGCGGCCCGCGAATCCTTGCACGGATTTTGAAAAAAAAAGAAAAATGAAATGACCAAAAAAAGTTGTCAGCCACAAATGAACATTTTAACAAATTCCTCCCACCGGTCAACGGTCGAAAAATGTACATATGCGGCCCTCCAAAGGTAAAAAAGTTTTCAATGCGGCCCTCACAGAAAATAGTTAGCCTATCCTGTATTACAAAAACAACATGTCAACTGCTTTAGAACAGGATAAAAAAATCAGGAAAAGAATCATATAAAAACCATTCAAGCAACAAACGAAATCGACTAGGAATATTTTACTTCAACCAAAGAACGTCATCTCTCGTTATGAAAAACAACATTTGTAGACCAGAACGATAATAGATAATAACCATCTAAAATATTTGTTCAAATGTAATGTTGATGAATGTGTGCACCATTATTCTGAGTTTAGTGATATGACGACAACCAAAGCTATCGAGAAGACGCACGATGCACGTACAAACTGACGCTATAAAAATAACATGAAAAAGAAACACAAAACTAAAATTACTAACAAATCTTGGACATCAATGTTGAAATCTTACATTACAGTAACAACCATTATTATTTACGACTAGCCAAATCAATACTCCTAGAACAAAGACATCCGATAATAAATATTCAACAACGAGCATTTGGAATCCTTCTACCTAGAAAATTTAGAAACAGAAGAATCATCGATAATGATGACACGTAAAAGTGTCATATCGCACAAATTTAATGATTGTAAAATGATCGTTAAGTATTCACATAAAACAAAGAATTATCATATATATATATATATATATATATATATATATATATATATATATATATATATATATATATATATATATATATATATATATATATATATATATATATATATATATATATATA